TTTTCTGATTGTCTTGCGTTTATGTGTTAATTACAAAAATATGTACTTTATGTGGCATTATATATACTTCATCAAATTACTTCTACATGCTAGGGTCGCATCAGTATCATGTGTGCGTAAATCCTAAATGGTCCCCAAGTCAGTATCACTTGACTGAAGGTTCTTCAACCACTTGGGCTGGACGGTAGAGCGACGGTCTCGCTTCATACAAGTCGGCGTTCAATCTCCGACCGTCCAAGTGGTTGGGCACCATTCCTTTCCCCCCTCCTATCCCAAATCCCTATCCTGACCCCCTTCCCAGTGCTATATAATCGTAATGGGTTGGCGCTTTCTCCTGATTGTTCCCTTCTCCTTAACAGTAGGTCCCCCAAGCCTACACAGTGTCAGACCAGGCCAGAACCTGTACCAACCCAGATACGGGTTCGAATCCATAAGGGGTCAAGAGTTTACTGTTGTATATTGGTCTGAAGACCATTCAGGGTTTACACACACTCGATCCCTAGTTTTGAAAATCCGGGTCATAAAACCGCCTGATCGACTTAACTATTGTAGGAGGTAGATTTGATTTAAAAAGGAGGAATGTTAGGATTGTGTGTAATTTTTAGGATTAAGTATTGCCTAGGTTAGGTTCGTCCTATTAGGATTAGATGATCTTTTGTTATATCTTATATTTACTGTATGTCGTACATAGCGTCTATACTAAATAAATAAATAAATACTAATATAAATAAATTTATAGTCTCCGTGGTGTAGTGGTAAGACACTCGCCTGGCGTTCCGCGAGCGCTATGTCATGGGTTCGTATCCTGGCCGGGGAGGATTTACTGGGCGCAATTCCTTAACTGTAGCCTCTGTTTAACGCAACAGTAAAATGTGTACTTGGATGAAAAAACGATTCTTCGCGGCAGGGGATCGTATTCCAGGGACCATAGGATTAAGGACTTGCCCGAAACGCTACGCGTACTAGTGGCTCTACAAGAATGTAACAACTCTTGTATATATCTCAAAAAAAAAAAAAAATAAATAAATAAATATGTTTATTCAGGTAAGGTACATACATACAAGTGATGTTCCATTAATGGATTGATATATAGATAGAGCTAGTACATACAATGCCTAAAGCCACTATTACGCAATGCGTTTCGGGCAATACTGGCACGCAGGTTCGTATTTACAATAAACATGCGGTCAAAATGTGTATTTTCCTCCCGTTCTATATATAACAGAGATGGTGGCCCTCAGCAAGCACGGACAGAATTAGTTCTGCCACGCTGAATGAAGGACTTCGTCAACCACAGTTGTGGGGTGGCAACCTCGTGGACCACGGTGTTTACTTCGTGGACGAGACAGGCTGCGACTAACAGTAGCAACCGCTAAGACAGGCTGCGACTAACAGTAGCAACCGCTAAGACAGTCTGCGACTAACAGTAACAACCGCTAAGACAGGCTGCGACTAACAGTAACAACCGCTAAGACAGGCTGCGACTAACTGTAGCAACCACTAATACAGGCTGCGACTAACAGTAGCAACCGCTAAGACAGGCTGCGACTAACTGTAGCAACCGCTAAGACAGTCTGCGACTAACAGTAGCAACCGCTAAGACAGGCTGCGACTAACAGTAGCAACCACTAATACAGGCTGCGACTAACAGTAGCAACCGCTAAGACAGGCTGCGACTAACAGTAGCAAGCGCTAAGACAGGCTGCGACTAACAGTAACAACCACTAAGACCTGGCCTACATATCCACCCCCACCGACCACACACTTCAAATGTTGCAGTGATTGTTCTATGACTCTAGTACCTACAGCAGCTCCTCCGTCAGTCTGCCAGAATGACGCAGAGTCTGCGGATGCAGTACACTGACACAACACCCAATGACATCTTTGTGTATCAGCATTCTACAATGCCACAAATACCGCACCAACAACCCACTTCAAGACCTTCACAGACATAAAATACTTTTACCCAAATGTCTATAACTACTTCAGTCCTGTCACTCTTGCTAACCTTCATCAAGCCAGTCTAGGACCTTCACTCACTATTGAACAGAAAGCAAAATGCACAGCCCTTGAGCGCACTGTTGGCAGCACAGTTAGTGAATCCCTGAAAGTCACATCATCACCCATACGTGACATTAACAACAATTTAACACATCATTAACATAACACAACATTAACAACAATTTATCACATCACTGATGGAGATCTACGGTCAACAAGGCACCAAGGTATTTAAGAAAATATGTTCCTTACCTTCAGAAATCAGCAAATAGGGCATAAAAATCTTTAAGATAAATAGTCCATAATACTTTAATAGCCCAGTAGAATTTCAAAATCTAGCTCAATGTTTTAAGTATAACAAATACAAACACGGCACAGAAACACGTATGAGTGACGCTTGCTCTAAGTGTTCCCAAAATGGCACTTCTGGACTAGCTGCAGCAGCACAATACTTAAATGCACGAATTGTAAAGACACCCACACTCTGCAGTACATAACACCTTCCCAGCTAGAGAACAAGTACTTAATAATCTACGCAACAAACAGTCTCAACCCCAACCTCACAACTTCAACACCACAGCTGCCCGACAACCCAATCATCCCCAGTACACTCAACAAATCAACGTGTTATAACTTAGATGCCGTCAGACGATTTAACGATTCTTCGCGGCAGGGGATCATATTCCAGGGACCATAGGATTAAGGACGTGCCCGAAACGCTACGCGTACTAGTGGCTGTACAAGAATGTAACAACTCTTGTATATATCTCAAAAAAAAAAAAAAAAAAAAAAAAACAGCTCGACAGACACTACCATCAACACAACACCCATCGTGTTCACCGTCAGTCACCAACACTTCAACAACCAGCTCACAACCCACATCAGGTTGTGGGTTGACACACTTTCGCAAGGGTCACAGCGTGCATAAAAAAACACTCATCTAACGCACGGTAATAGACGAGTCTTTACTACTATACTCCCGAAAATTCCAAGCTCAGACTCCGCCTATCAATCAATCTTCCATAGTCACCCCGTACATCAGACCGGCTCTCCAGCCCCAACAGAAAACGCATAGTATACTATCACAGTTAACCCCAAACTATAGCAAACTCAGCTAGCGTCTTGCCCAACCCACCCACCCTGTCACCTTTGAGATATATACAAGAGTTGTTACATTCTTGTACAGCCACTAGTACGCGTAGCGTTTCGGGCAGGTCCCTGGAATACGATCCCCGCCGCGAAGAATCGTTGTTACAACCAAGTACACATTTTACTGTTGAGTTAAACAGGGGCTACAGTTAAGGATTTGCGCCCAGTAAATCCTCCCTGTCAGGATACGAACCCCTGACAAAGCGCTCGCAGAACGCCAGGCGAGTGTCTTACCACTACACCACGGAGCTATAACATGTTCCCACCCCAGGTACCAGTTACCCCCCTTGTGGTACTACTCCTCAACAAGAACAACTACTTATTTGATTGTGGTTGTATTTGTTGAGGTTTAAATGGTCATTTTGCCGGAAACGATGTGCGTATTAGTGGCTTTAGGCAAAGTACATACATAGGCTTTAGGTATAGTACATAGTACATTTAGGCAACACATACTTGTATATGTACCAGGTCCATCTAGGAATCCAACATTTTGTTTGTAACTCATTTTGAATGTATGTACTTTTACTTGAATAAACATTATTATTATTATTATTATTATTATTATTATTATTATTATTATTATTATTATTATTATTATTTATTTATTATTATTATTATTATTATTATTATTATTATTATTATTATTATTATTATTATTATTATTATTATTATTATTATTATTTCTTAAAATGGTCTCAAACCAGTTAGATACTGTGTTCCTCGCCTTGCCCTAGTTACTCTGTATTATTTACTATTTTATCCATATATTAGCTATGGTATCTGTGCCTGGGGATCCACTACTAATAATTACACGCAGATGGAATTACTATACATATTGATATTAATCATCAAACATCATTAATCATTAATCATCATCAAATATCAATCATCATTGATATTAATCATGCCCGAAACGCTTTGCGTAATAGTGGCTTTAGGCATTGTATGTACTAGCTCTACCTATAAGTCAAACAATCCTTGTAAATATTTATTGTATGTATGTACCTTACCTAAATAAAATTGTATTGTATTGTATTGTATCAATGTGGAATTACTGGTGTCAATATCACTATGCCTCAGATCTACAAGATTTTATTGAAGTTCTTGGTGTACTGATGCTCTCAGACTACTTATAATTGACAATCCAAGGTCATACTCAATTTCTCCTTTAAAGGCAGATTCTTTAGCTAACCCATCAGCTCTATCATGCATTCGGAGGCCAACATGAGATGGAGACTACATGAAATGGACTCTGTTACCATCATTAATAATTTAGTTCTATTTGTGTCCAGCTTCAGACACGAGCATGTTACAGTTATGTCTTAAAGAGTTGAGAGCAATCAAGGATTGCTTTGCATATAAAAAATTTACGATTATTTACAAATTTACGTGAAATAAGCATTGTTCTGAGAGAGAGTTGCTCCGTCGATCGATCTGTCCGGAGTCGGAGCTCGGCTATTATAAAAGTACACGTATCTTCGCTTTAAATTTAAATATGCCCATGGTAAGGTATTTAGAACGAAGCTTATATATCTGTCTTTCTTGTGACATATAAAACTCTTACGTTTATTAAGGAATCTGCGTGAAATAGGCATGGTTCTGAGATGAATGCTGCGGTTTTCGAGTTTGACGAGCGATGAAAACTGCCACTTTTATACAACTACAAATATCTTCGGTTTTACTTAAAATATTTGTCTGGTAGAGATTTTACATATAGATCGCGTTTCTGTCTTTCTTCTGACTAATAAATAATTTTGGTTTAATCAGTTATCAAGATGTTTTCAACAATATTCTTTCAGCGTTCGTCTTTTCCAACTTGGGCGACCCTTTTGGAAGCGCGATACTTGGGTTAACCCATCCTATAGTTGGGTCTGTTTCCAACTGGGGTTCGAATAACCATAACAAACCCTGGCAAAAAGACTGCTGGTCACCTGAAACATCTCCCGTCACTTGGAATACCTCCCGTCACTTGGCTACGCCTCCTTCCATCACCTGAACACTCCTCCCGTTATCTGGACACTCCTGTCACTTAGATACACCCGTCACACATCACCTCAACACACCCATCAGCTGAACACACCTCCCATCACCTAAACACTCCTCCCATCACTTGGATACACCCATCACCTGGGCACTCCTCCCGTCACCTGAACACTCCTCCGGTCACCTGGACACCTCCCATCATCATGGTATAATTGCTTTCACGTATTCTGATAACTGTAGTGTGTTAGGTGTCTTGGGATTACTAATTACTTAGGTTTTCATATTGGTCATAATGGAAAATTCAAGTTTTTCAATAATCTTGAATACAACATGTACACTGTAATTAACTAAGTGTAATTATCTAAGTGAAGTTACAGGATGAGAGCTACGCTCGTGGTGTCCCGTCTTCCTAGCACTCTTTGTCATATAACGCTTTGAAACTACTGACGGTCTTGGCCTCCACCACCTTCTCACCTAACTTACTCCAACTGTCTACCACTCTGTTTACAAAAGAGAATTTTCTTATATTTCCCCAGCAGCTTTGTTTCATTATTTTAAATCTATGATCTCTTGTTCTTGAAGTTCCGGGTCTTAGGAATTTTTCCCTATCAATTTTATCGATTCCTGTTACTATTTTGTACGTAGTGATCATATTGCCTCTTTTTCTTCTGTCTTCAAGTTTTGGCATATTTAATGTCTCTAACCTCTCCTCGTATCTCTTGTCCTTCAGTTCTGGGAGCCACTTAGTAGCATGTCTTTGCACCTTTTCCAGTTTGTTGATGTGCTTCTTAATTAAGATATGGACACCATACAACCTCTGCATATTTTAGCTTTGTGAATACTGTGACAGAATCTGCAAGCAGTAGTGTTTAAAATCTGGTCCAGTGTAGTTTTTCCTTGTTTGGTTTAGTTGAATTTGAGTCTCATATTCATCCTATGTATAGTGGTGGAAATTTTACTGAATTGTAAACTATAATGGGTTCAGGATCTGAACTACAGTGTTCTTGTAACTGGGCATTTTTACATTTGTGTTGAACAAGTAATGTTTTATTTTAATCAATCTATTTTATTGTTAATGCTTTTAAGCCAAATGTGCTGTTATATTGCCAGGTCATCTTTTATGTGAATAGGGTGTGCCGTATGGGACTGTGTTGAAACCTTACATCACACTAAGAGCACCTATCCAAATATAGTACAGTACTGCAGCACCAAAGTAGGATGCTTATACTGTAGACTATACTATAAATTATTTGTTCATATGTTTCTTATAGGACAGTAATATGACATACAGGTACTATATATGTATTGCACATTCATCATTAGTGCAATGTCTCAGCACTCATTTTATGAATAGTGTTAAATACTCTGCCATAGGGCGAGTAAGTTGTCTGTTTACGTATCAAAATGACAAGTCATCTGTTGCATATATTGAACATTATTGTTGTGTTGCTGCAAATTAACTTTGAGCAAAGAAATTTTTAATGTAACAGTAAAATGTGTGTTAAGTCATTTATTTGTTAAAGGTTTACACATCAATCAATGAATAACAAAATAAAGCTAAATTGAAGTAGCATATTTTTAAGGTCTGGTACATTTTATTGTTGAGCACTAGTTTATTGTTAATGTTTGAGATACAATTTCAAGGCATTACCCTTTACTCTATTTCCAATTTTCTCTCTTGCTTATCTAACCATCCATACCTAATGTAACCTGGATTCAGATTAGAAATTGGATTACATCTTGATACCTAAATGTACAGAAATTTTACACCATGTTTATATTTCACTATATAATGGGTAGGGGCAATATTTCTTCTAGATATTTCTTTGCACTATAGATTTAAACAAAGACCCAACAAAATTTAAAATATTGGGTACAAGCAATGCAATGTGTATGTAGATAGATATAAAAATTAGTTCCCCATTTTGTAACTCGACCTCTTCCTGCTTGCTCCATTTTTAGTTTTGCACAAGTTACATTAGGTTAGGATAAATGAAATTAATTTATGCTTGTTAGTTTAGATATGAGCGAATTAGAAATAAGGGTGACTACTCGTGGAAAAGTATGAGAAGTCTATGCTGTATGTTGTGGGGCTGAGCAAGCTTGTGGCTTGTCAAGGTTACCCTATCCAAGACAATCGGTTTGGATTCATGAATGAACTACTGTATAAATACATATGGAGGAACATAGTTGAGTATAAAAATTATAGAGGCATTCGTTAAGTGTAGTGGTTGAGCGTATTGGAAATAACAGAGAAATCAGTAAGTGATCAATAAGGCTAGTTTCGTAGTGGAAGAGGTTGTTTCTTTGGATCAGATATTTGCATTGAGACAGCTTGGAGAAGAAAATCAAAGAAAAATTGCAAGGTGTAACATGTCTTTATATTCCTGATAAAGGTTGTATGACACAGTTTATAGAGAAGAACTCTGAAGATCCAGCACCATGTGAGGTAATTTCGATTCTGATTAATGCTGTAAAACAGTTTTTATGTAGGATGTATTATATGTGTAAGTGCTGATGTTGTAATGAGTGGTTGATTGTAATGAATTTTATGCCTTGCTTGTGGGCAAGGTAAGAATATTGGAGAAGGGTGTAGCTTTGCCGTAAATGATGGAGGTTTTCTGTCCGAGAAAAATGCTGTATCTGTAGATTAGTCAAAGATTTATTTGTGTGAGAGATGACAGACAAGTATAAATGTGGGTAAAGGCAAGATTGTAATGGTTGAGAGAAAGGTGAATTGTGTTTGTGAAATGTGTGTGAATGGCCAGGGAGCCGGTCGGCCGAGCGGACAGCACACTGGGCTTGTGATCCTGTGGTCCTGGGTTCGATCCCAGGCGCCTGCGAGAAAGAATGGGCAGAGTTTCTTTCACCCTATGCCTCTGTTACCTAGCAGTAAAATAGGTACCTGGGCTGGGCAGTCAGCTGTCACGGGCTGCTTCCTGGGGGTGGAGGCCTGGTCGAGGACCGGGCCGCAGGGACAGTAAAGCCCCGAAATCATCTCAAGATAACCTCAAGATGGCATAATGGCAGATCAGATAGGATCTGATTATGATCAGTGATTGCAATTGACAAAAGAGGAATTTGTGCAAGTAAACTTGTGACGAGAGTGAGTCAGGTAAATTAAGTGGCTGGTGTAATAAAAACTCTGGCTAGAAAGAACAGTCTAGGAAGAAATGCAATGTGAGATGAGATGTTGGTGTGCCACAAACATCATAAATCAAGAATTAAGGAAGCATAAATCTACAGACCTCAGAGCTTTAAAATGAATAATGAAAAAATGTAAAAGTGGGTAATTGTTAGACTGAGAATACTGGTATTATCCTGAGAAAATTGGATAATATTGAATGTATGGATGAGGATACACTGATGAAGAGAGTGTACAGTATCATGGGAAATCTAAGCATAAGAGGCAGCAGCTCAAACGATGGTCAGCAGACAACGCATGAAGAAGGAACAAGTGTCTTGTTTTCAGTTGATAACTTGCTTGGAGCAATACCCCTAGTTCTATGAAGTATTTTGTGAAGCATTGGGACCTGCTCTTGGAGATATTTCTGGAGAGTAGTAATGCTGCCTTTTCATGATAAGTAGGATTTCGATCCTAAATAGACTGGCATCACTTGTTCAAATCTTTAGCCTTCTTTTCCTGTACTGCTTCCAGTTTTTTTTCTGAAGCCATCCCATGAATGTGGGAAACAGGCTAGTGATGATTCTAGTTTCAAATACCTGTACTGAATTGATAATGAATTTACTATTATTAATTTACATTTAAATTGCATTGATGTTCTGTTTTTCTTCTAACCATGTGAAATGTGTGGTTACTATTTAATTTCATTGCATGCTTAAGAAACTTATTTAGATATACGTTCAGAGTATTTCCTGAATTTGTCTTGTAAAGAGTATAAAATTCAATAAAATCCTTTAATCTTATGCAGAATATTTTTCAGGATCATAAATACATCTGTATATATTTATAATATATCTGTGCTCCCTACCTTCTCTACCATGTCCTTCTTTACAAGAGGTGAGTGCAGATAATTTTGATATGACAATGATAGCAACTATATTAGGAGTGATATAGTTGCTCTAAAGTTATCAGAAGTTCCATTGCAGGCAGTTAGATGTGCCTGTTAATTCCACCTAACTTACCCCTAAGAAGAACATTCTAAGAAGTTTTACATTGTATATATATATAATATACTCGGTCACTGTACAGGGCTCTCAGTCACTGTACAGGGCTCTTGGTCACTGTACAGGGCTTTTGGTCACTGTACAGGGCTCTCGGTCACTGTACAGGGCTCTCGGTCACTGTACAGGGCGTTATAACAATTATGTAAGTGTTGTATATGAGGACTCGTGAGTTGTATTTCTATTCAAGTTTTATTTTTTAACAGGCCGAGAAGCTATTCATACTGTATTGTTTCGGAGCATCATTGATCATAGGAGTAACACAAGCTTCAAGGGGTGACAGTTCTAATGAGTATACAGGCTGCTACCATGTTTGCCACTTCAACAACTGTTCCTCAAGTAAGTCTCGGTCAAAGTAATGTGCTTATTTAGTAACCGACATGCCCATATATTTTTGTCGGTACAGTATTTGCATCGTACTTTTGTTAAATCACTTTCTTTATGATAAATCTGTCGGTTTAAAGAGAACGGCCACGGTATAAAATTTTCCCAAACTTTTAGGAAAACTAAACTTTTTTCATGTCTTGGCAAATTACAATATTTTGTTTAATGAAAATTGATATAATACCGTATTGGAAATTATACAGTATTGGAACAGTTGAATTAACAAAATGAATGGAAGATTTGTGGTTTATTTTCAATATTTAAGAAGTTCAGAATTTCATACTTGACTGTTGTTAATACTTAGAGATTGGGTCATTGACAAAATGTCTTCATTAAATAAATAAATAATAAATAAATGTTTATTCAGGTAAGGTACATACATACAAGAGATTTTACAAAAATGGATAGATTTATAGATAGAGCTAGTACATACAATGCCTAAAGCCACTATTACGCAAAGTGTTTTCGGCAGGGGAAAGCCACTCATTGTGGCTTTCAGTATGTTTCAGAAACTTTAGGTTACTTTACTAAGGAAAGCTAGTGTTGTATGTATTTAACTTTTGAAAACTGTCTGAATGAAACAGGGTGGCTATAGCTGACATGGGAATGCAAACTGCATATTTATTTTCTTCACACAAGGAAATCTTTTTCAGAAGTGGGCATTGCTGCATATGAATCCTCACAGAGCCTTAGTGAGAAGTTTTTCCAGTGGACTTGTGATGACGAGTGTAAATATTACTGTATGTGGCGTACAACACAAATATTCATCGACAAAGGAATGGATGTACCACAATTCTTTGGCAAGGTGAAGACTGTGTTATTGTTATAGTTGATGATGGACTGAACACACAATTACTGTATTAATCTTAATGATTATAATTCTGATTACTTTAAAATGACTAATATGCATCATGCCATAGGTTGCATGAGAAACTAGCAAAATTTGCCCGAGAACTTTAATCTCTGCACTGCACACATGTTATTGGAAAAAACTTCAAAGTGCAATTGTTAAGGACATATTTTTGTTGTTTTTATAAATGTTCAGGTAGTGTTAGTGTCAAAATGTTTTCCAAACTAAACTATTTTCATTTCAAAACACAAAGAGTGATAAAAACATTAAAATATAGCCTAATTAAAAAAAAACGGACAACTCTCAAAACAACATTTGTTGGCTGGCGCAGTTGAGGGGTTAAAAATGATCACAAGTATTTGTTCTATTATGAGAGTAGACGATTTTTATAAAGCTGTCTTGTTTTTCCTTGTGGATCTCGGTCATTCATGACTGGCTGCTCATATTCCTAGAAAAAATTGCTAAATGTATGATAACCATTTAGGCTCAGAAATATTAAAAGCAACCAAATAAAAAAGTAATCCTTTGATCATGTGAAAAGCTTGTTAATAATAAAGTTTAAGGGCAGTTCCAGTATTGCAGTAGTGATGCGCTTGATGGGGGGCCATAGGTGTTGCAGGAAGGTGTTTTGATCTTGTTAGGATAAATTATCTTAACTAGTGGGAATTCCTCCACTCCCCCATCCCTTCAATCCCATCACTTCTTCCTCTCCATATCCACCACTTCTTTCCCCCCTCCACCTCAGGTGTGCTTCCAGATTCAATTACAGTCCCCAGAGACATCATATGTACGAAGGTTTACAACTTCCTGGTTTTCACCCTCAGTGACATTCTCACTTCTTTTTCAATTCCTCCTTCAAGACCAGGACCTCACATCTTTGAAGGACCTGTTCTTTTTAAATACAGGTCAGCCACTTCTTATTGGTCGTGGTATAAGGTTCCTTATTCATCCTGGCTTGTGGGGAAAACACTTTTCTTTGGGAACCTAGCATGGCTTTTACCGTACCCAATCGCTCGAATGGCATGATGGGAGTTTGGTCTGTCATGTGTTTTTGGGTGGTGCTGCCTTTGTCTTGCTTGCCTTTCAGGCTTGCCTGTTTGCATTGTCCTTGCCTCAAGATGTAGGTATGTGGAAGCTGCATATTCAGTTGCCTTCATTTTCTGGGCCTAATATCACAGTTATCATATTACCTTTAGTCATGGTTTGTATGTACTTGGTCACAATTTTGCCTGTTTGGGCTGTCATGGACCAGTTCCACAGTTAGCTCTGTATATGCTTCGATGCCTTAGGTGGTGTGCTGTTAGTAACATCATTGGTGCCTGTGGTTGGGTCCTCAGATATGATGCCCAAGTTGCTTGCTCCTTTCCTTTGGTAGGTGGTGACAGAATTTTTTTCACTCGTCTGTCTTGCCAGCAGGCCTTACTGATCTTTGCCTTAGATTTGGGCCAGTCCTTGTCCTTTTTGTTCTCCCCATTTTCATGTCTTTTTTTAATACTGTGTGTGTGTAATTATTTAATTAATTAATTCATGTGGATGCTGTGTCTTTGGTTCTTTCGGTTACAGTGGTGGTTTTACAGCCAGTCAGTCATCTGTTTTGCTACAGAGTTCTGCCTCCTACTGCTTAGGGAAGGAGACTTCAATGCAGGTCCTTGCCTGTTGTTGTTTGGGGTAGGCTTTCGAAGGAGTCTGATTTTTAGACCATTGTGGTTTCTTCAGCTTTTGCTCCCTCTGGTCAGCATTGCTCTTAGGCATTGTGGAGGTGTGCATTGGCTTAGAGATCTTAGCACTGCCTCTTTTGTGGTTCACCCCTTTGATGGGTTGATGGGTCTCTGGGGAATGTTTAGCCTATTTTGCCAACTCTCGGTCTTACATTGTGTAGACCTTTTGGGTAGTGTCCCAGTACCTACAGTGGAGGTGGTTCTCTACCTCTCCCCTTGGTGTAGGAGGCCAGCATGGTCTACTCAACAGCTCCTCTTGGTCATCGCAGAGTGGTTTGATGCTGGATTCAAGTTAGCCTTATTCTGCTGTGGGTGTCCAGGTTATTCCAGGTCCACAAGCAGGACTTGCTGAATGTACTGTACATTCTCAGCTTTTCAGGTTTGAATCACTTCATTCAATGTTCAACCCTTGCCTTGGCCTTGGGTTGGGGGCTCTGGTTGCTCAGGGTCGCTGGGTGGCTCCATTGAGTTTGGTGCACAGCACGGTGCAAGAGTTTACTGTAGTTTGGCTGTCACTGCAGTTGGTGGGCTCTGTGGTCTAGCTCCACTCTGTTTCCCGGTGGTTCATTGCCTAAATCCCAGGGGGTAGCTTCAGTCTCTTACCTCATGGGACTGGATGCTACAGGTTGAATATTTAACAGATTTTCAGGGTTTGGCTCTTCATGAAGTTCACATTTGGGACATGACCAATGTTCTGCCAGATGGTTACTTTTTACAGCTCTCCTTCGACACTGGTGAGGGGCGACACAAAAGGGGTACGACACTGGTACCCCTTTTGTTTTTTCTCATGACATAGCACCAAGAAGTCACCAATAGGAGTCCTCTCAGGAAATGGTTTTGAATATAATGAAATGCCTCTTCCAGAAGAGTCCTTGGAACCCTCCCTTTTCCATTCAGAGACTTTGGTTTTCAAACTTCCTGGCTATATGGCCGATATAGCAAGGTTTGTGGTTCAAGGAGGAATTTGCGCAGTCCTCTCCTGGTGCACTGGTGGAAGTAACGAGAGAATTCCTTCATGACCAAATGGTTCATGAGTCTCAAGGCTTTGCTCTGCCATTTTTGTGTTCGGTTTACATTAGTGTTTGTATGTTTTAGTTCCCCCACTTTACTGTTGATCTTTTCTTGGTTAGGGTGATCTACAATCCCTTGGTTTTTTTTTTTTTTTGAGATATATACAAGAGTTGTTACATTCTTGTACAGCCACTAGTACGCGTAGCGTTTCGGGCAGGTCCCTGGAATACGATCCCCGCCGCAAAGAATCGTTTTTTCATCCAAGTACACATTTTACTGTTGCGTTAACCAGAGGCTACAGTTAAGGAATTGCGCCCAGTAAATCCTCCCCGGCCAGGATACGAACCCATGACATAGCGCTCGCGGAACGCCAGGCGAGTGTCTTACCACTACACCACGGAGACTGCTGTTCTTGTGCCTCTTTAGAGGGTGCTAGATTTTGGCCTCTGGTCTCTGGTTGGATTATATGACTTGCAAGGGTCTGGCATGATTGAATTAGGAGGAGAATGCCAGGTAGCAAAAGTCAAAATAAGTCAAAAGTGCTGATGGTCAAAATAGAGATCCTAAATGTAGTTGTTGTCCTTGTATATAAGTCACCGGAGGCAAACCCTCAGCAGTTTAAAGACCAACTAATGAAAATAGAGCACTGCTTGGAAAACCTCACAAATCCAGCTCCGAACATCATCCTGCTTGGGGACTTCAACCTACGGCACCTGAAATGGAAGCACCTGGCTAATACAGTAATATCAGAAAGAATACCAGGAAGTAGCCTAAATGAGCAGGCACATGCAAATGACCTGCTACGGATGTGCGATAGGTTTGCCTTAAAGCAGCAAATAGTAGAACCAACTAGGAAGGAGAACACGCTGGACCTCATTTTCACTAATAATGATGAGTTGATCGGGAACATAATGATTACAAATACCTGTTACTCAGATCACAACTTAATTGAAGTTCTGACAACCATGGGGAATGGACCTTCAAAACCAGTCCAGATTCCCGGTGGAGGAGATTTCAGCAAATTCAACTTCAATAATAAACGGATAAACTGGGAGCAAATAAACCAGGACTTCACAGAAATAAACTGGGAAGAACAGCTAGGAAATGCAAACCTGAACCAGTGCCTGGAAAAAATAAGCTCAGTAGCACTAGAGATATGTTCAAACCGCATACCCCTAAGAAAAAAGAGAAAGAGATGCAGATTGGAACGGGAACGTCGTTCCCTATATAGGCGAAGAAAACGAATCGCGGAACAACTTGAGAGTCGCACCCTATCTCAAGAACGGCGAAGAAGGTTAGGTAGAGAAATAGAAACAATTGAACTCAAGCTACAAGAATCATACAAAACCCAGGAGAGGCAAAGAGAGCAAAAGGCCATCAGTGAAATAGAGAGAAATCCGAAATATTTTTTCTCCTATGCAAAATAAAGATCAAAAACCACATCTAGTATCGGGCCCCTGCGAAAGGGAGATGGAACTTTCACAGATGACAACAAAGAAATGAGCGAGTTACTGAGGAAGCAGTACGACTCTGTTTTCAGTGAGCCATTAAATGCACTAAAGATTGATAACCCAAATGAATTTTTCATGGATATGATACCAACATCAAATCATATATCAGACGTCGCCCTATCCCCACTAGATTTTGAAGAAGCCATAAACAGTATGCCTATGCACTCTGCACCAGGCCCGGATTCTTGGAACTCCATATTCATCAAGAACTGTAAAAAACCACTATCGCAGGCCCTTCACATTCTGTGGAGACAAAGCCTAGATACTGGCGTTATCCCTGACATACTAAAAACAGCAGAGATAGCACCACTCCATAAAGGAGGAAATAAGGCAGAGGCAAAAAATTACAGACCGATAGCACTAACATCGCACATCATAAAAATTTTTGAGAGAGTGCTAAGAAGTAAGATCACAAAATACATGGAATCACAGCATCTCCATAACCCCGGACAACATGGTTTCAGAACAGGGCGCTCTTGCCTGTCGCAGTTGCTGGACCACTATGATATGGCATTAGATGCTATGGAAGACAAACAAAACGCTGATGTAATTTACACAGATTTCGCAAAAGCTTTTGATAAATGTGACCATGGTGTTATTGCACATAAAATGCGTTCAAAAGGAATTACCGGGAAAATAGGCAGATGGATCTACAATTTCCTGACTGACAGAACCCAATGTGTAATAGTCAACATAATAAAATCCAGCCCATCAACCGTGAAGAGCTCAGTCCCCCAGGGTACTGTGCTTGCTCCAGTACTTTTTCTCATCCTCATATCGGACATAGACCAGAACACAACCTATAGCACTGTATCATCCTTTGCAGATGACACTAGGATTTTCATGAGAGTTGGCAACATAGAGGACACGGCAAACCTCCAATCAGATGTAGATCAGGTCTTTCTATGGGCTACAGAAAATAATATGGTATTCAACGAGGATAAGTTTCAGCTCATGCGCTACGGAAAAATTGAAAATATAAAAACAGAAACCACGTACAAAACGCAGGCAAATCATAACATAGAACGAAAAGGCAATGTAAAGGACCTGGGTGTACTCATGTCGGAAGACCTTACCTTTAAAGAACACAATAAAGTAGCCGTCACAACTGCAAGAAAAATGACAGGTTGGATAACAAGAACTTTTCACACTAGAGATGCTATACCGATGATGATACTTTTCAAAACGCTTGTGCTCTCTAGAGTGGAGTACTGCTGCACAATGACAGCCCCTTTCAAAGCTGGAGAAATTGCTGACCTAGAGAGCGTGCAGAGATCCTTTACTGCTAGAATCCACTCAGTACTCAGTAAAACATCTAAATTACTGGGACCGACTAAAGAGCCTAAATCTGTACTCCCTTGAGCGCAGGCGGGAGAGATACATAATAATTTACACGTGGAAAATAATTGAGGGGCTGGTCCCAAACCTGCACACAGAAATAACACCACATGAGACCAGAAGACATGGCAGGATATGCAGAATACCCCCGTTGAAAAGCAGAGGTGCAACAGGTACTCTGAGAGAGAACTCTATCAACATCAGAGGCCCGAGACTGTTCAACACGCTTCCACTACACATAAGGGGCATAACTGGCAAACCCCTCACAGTGTTCAAGAGAGAACTGGATAAGCACCTCCAAAGGATACCTGATCAACCAGGCTGTGACTCATACGTCAGGCTGCGAGCAGCCGCGTCTAACAGCCTGGTTGATCAGTCCAGCAACCAGGAGGCCTGGTCGACGACCGGGCCGCGGGGACACTAAGCCCCGGAAGCACCTCAAGGTAGCCTCAAGGTAAGGTAGCAAGGATCCACCAATGATCCTCCAGAAAGAGGCATTTCATCACATTCATCACTAGTTTTATATTCACTTATACTTATTCATGTACAGTATATATTTGTTTAATTATGTTTCAAACAATCCAGCAATCCCACATCTCTTATGTTACCAGGTAAGTTGTTCCATATATCTACAATACTATTTCCAGACCAGTATATACCCAAATCTTCCTGAATCTGTGGGTACATCCTTGTTGCATCAATGCTGTATGTATCCTGCTTGCTGTGTCGTGATCCCAACATAGTACAAATCTTTATACCTTTGGGAGCAGCAGCATAAGTTTGCCTACAAAGAATCCTGTTATAAGTTCACATCATAATTTGTAGCGAGTGCCCACAGCTGTTCATGGCACAGTGGTGGTCATTATAAGGCACTGTGGTATTTTAGTAAAGGTATCATTATTGTGGTACAATTCAACCTAAGTTTTCAGCATAAAACCAGCAAAAGTGTTATACTGTAATGTACTTAAATATTTTCAGTGGCCATTTGCACGGGTTTGGGGTATGCAAGAGCCTGCAGCCGTTCTCTTCTCCGTCTTCAACCTGTTGGCTCATGCTGTTAGTCTTATCCAGTTTCGCCAGACTGTGCCTTCTAATGCTCCACTCTATAAGATATGGTTTTTACATGCTGTGGTAAGTGAAATTTATATTAGAATATCCAATGGCTGGCATGACCACTTATGTGAAAGAAAACATTCTCATCAGTCAGGATTTGGATATTTTATCCCATTAATTCTGTCTATATCTTTCCATATGCCCATTGGGCATTTTTTGACTGTCCACACTGCTTCATTTCTAAGAGAATTTGGTTTAAAAACGTTGACTCTTGGCTCTACAATTTCAGTACTCGGCATCACAGATGCATCATCTCAGATTGGACAATAATTTGTTCACACAATAATAACTTGCATTTCTTGTTCTTTCTTTCATTCTCTTTTTAAACCAAAATGCTTCCACATTTCTCTCTAATCCACACACATGTTGACTTTCATCTTGAATATGTTTAAATTTAACTTCCGTTAGTTTTACATTGTTCATTAAACTTCAGTATTTCTAAGCATGTTGAGTTGAAACTTCAGTTAAACTTATTGTACTTTTAAGATTCAGGGTAAATGCATTTTCCATCTGTAGCATAATGCCAAATTTATACAATTATTTGTTTCTTGTATACTTCACATGTGTATATTGTTTTAATTTGCATTGCATTTCTGCTTTGGTTGAGTCTTATTCTAGGAATATTAGAGATACTTGTTCTTTGTGTGTGTGTGTTTTTTTTTTTTTTTTTTTATTATTATTATTATTATTTTTATTATTATTATTATTATTATTATTATTATTATTATTATTATTATTATTTTCTACCGCAGACGTGGCCACACATTTACAATGCTAACCACCATATATACATTTTCTTCTGTCCTCCATGGACAGGGTTAGAGAAGTGTTAAACATATAGTTCAAGGGTTTATTGAACACTCAACCACAGAAGGTGATTCGGTGCTTTTAAAATGCTAAGCTAACCTACATACGTAATTCGTGAGTTCCATTAGTGTTCACGTTTGTTTTCCTTGTTCCATATGATAAAGCAGTCATGTATGAACATAATGGCCCCAAAAATGTGTGTGTGACTGTGTGTGTTTATATAGTTAGTGTGTGTTGTGTATGTAGGGAATGGGTTTGGAAATTTAAATTTACTCAAACATAATTGGCTCTTAAACATGTGTTCATTACACAGCAAGCAGCACTTAGCCTGGCTCACTTAGTGGGTGTGTGGTCCCATTTTGAAAATTCACAGAAAATACATTTATTAAACAATCATTGTTTTTCTTGTACTATACAATAAAGCAGTCATGTGCCAACATTTCAATCTAAACATATATCTAAATACTATATGGCAATGAAGAACTGTACAAAACATCAAATTACTGTAATAAAACTGGCTTTCTCGTGGACAAAATGTTAATTACTGTGTATCCAATACATGTATTTACTAAGTATTCAGTATATGGATTCAAGTTTTAGTACAAAATTATTGATGTTCATAATCCCTTGATGAATTTCCTTTAATGATATTCACTATATTCTTTATCTTGAACTCCTACATTAATACCATTCTACACATCTACTTACAGATTTGCATCAATGCATGGGTATGGTCAGTTGTTTTCCATGCCCGAGATACACCGTGGACTGAGCGCTTGGACTACTTCTGTGCTTTTTCCATGGTTCTCTTCTCACTTTTTGGCCTTCTTGTTAGGTATGGAAAGAAGAAATGTTAAAAAATCTGGACAAAAAGTATTAAGAGGAAAAGAGTTAGGCAGCTTTAACCCTTAGGCTGCAGACATTGTCAGTTATTGATCCACAGGGTAATGGGGTTATTATTTGAAGATTTAAACAATTATTGTCTGGCTTTTACATGTATGATACAAGTAAGGATTTACAGTAGTAGCTCTTTCCTTATCAGCATAAAACAGGAGGCATCAGCAGAGTCGAGCACCAGGCGTTGACAAGGGCCAGACACAGTCGTGCAGAGCACCTCCACCCAGTGAAACAATAACTATTGACTTATTTTCGTGTTTTTCTTACATTTTGCATACAAATTAACACTTTCGCCCGGGCATGACGCAGCATTGCGTCATCCGTTTACTGGCGGTAATTCCGGGGATGACGCAGCATTGCGTCATCTACTTTAAATAATCGCCAAAAATCAGGTTTTTATCCGATTTTTTGGGGACTGGTTTTAAAATGCGCGCCGATGTCTTCCCATTTTCTTTGCTGAGCCTCGTGGCCCTCAGGCAGCTTGGCACATGCCGTGGGCCCATTGTTTTCGCTCTACTGTTGTGACCAATGTCGCCTCCCCTCGCATCTCAAACGTGTGAACATTTCGGCTATTTTCCGTGGCTATATTTCTTACTGCGGCTTTAGAAACTATCTACGCTTACTCCACGATGGATAGTGATCATGAACAAGGCCCTTCCAGGAAGAAAATTGCGAAAAAAAGGCTTGAAAAGGGCGGGAATTGGGAGTGTAGCTGGAAGGCGGCTGAGCACTCACTCGCGGCTAACGCGTGGCCCGTCTTCAACTCGTCGGCGGTTGGAGCGTGACCAGGTTTTTTATTTTATATGCTAATGTTCCTCTAGAGAATTCTATTGCGAACCCATTGAGACCAAAATGAAAGACTTAGGATAAAACTTGAGGTGACCAGAGTAAAAATAGTGAAAACATTTTATCGCGTTTGCGCGCTCCTGGGTAACTCGTTCGCACTTTCTCTGTTTGCTGCAGGTAATTAGCCGGGCTTTTGGAGTTTATATGCCTTTAGTGCTGTAGAGAATTCTATTGTGAACACAATGATACCAAATTTAATCTTGTAGGACGAGAATTAAGGTGACAAAGTTGAAGAGAGTATACACTTTTCAGAATTTACGCACACTCCCGTGACACCCTGGGTCCCATATCGCACAGTTGAGGGGTGGCGAGCGGGGTGCGCCAAAGTGTTAATAATTCTATAATGAAAAATAATTTTTTATATTCTTATATTTCTTATATTTTTGTGCATAGACGGGTATGACCATTTCTCCATAGACGCTGTCTAAGGGTTAATGTACTGTACACTAATTTGAATATATACGTACACTATGTTCAATATTATTACTGGCATTACAAGCTTAATTTTTCAGTAGCTTGGGAAATAAATCTGGCATTGCTACCACATGGCTTATGGTATCCTGCAGGACTATTTTGGGTGTGTAGCTCTTGCCAAAGTAACAGATACCCATTAAGTCTGTTTGCAAGCCCCCACCAAAAATTTCCGAGATGTCACTAATACGACAGTCAGTGTGAAGTTATCCCTAATCTAGCTACCTAGTTTGTCAAATGTTCTATGGTCCATTTCTTGTACAGTACAATACATTCAGACATAGTGAACAACATCAAAAGTTGGACAGAAAATGGAGCTTGGGTATATATAAAATCTGATATTAAAATATGCCCACCAATGGAAAGAATTGGACCCCTACCTGTCTTGTTTTGCTATATTTCACTGTTTCTAGCAATGCTGTGCATCACTATTCATGACAGTGGTTATTGTCAGTGTAATATTACTTGTATACTGTATTTTATATTACAACCCCAAAAACCAGCACACAGTGCATCAACTAGCAGCACATGGTAGGGATTGCTAGGGCACTTATTGTGGCGGATCAAAGGGGTCCTGGGACATGCATCGCAGTGTGTCATCTAAGTAGGCGTGCCAATATTCGCGGCTGTGGGCCATCCAAATGTTCTGAAGTCGGCACATCTCTATACAGTATCTAGAAGATATATGCATTCGAGGATGAAAACCCTGAAGTTTATCAGAAACTCCAGTCTGGTTTCCTTACAAGATGCAGCAGTCAATACTTGTGTTAGAGCTAATGGACTCACTGAAAAGCCAAGGGATATTAATGTGAGAAAGTGTGATGGCAGGCAATCAGAGCAGTTTTGACTGTCTTCCACTATGTCACCCTCTTACAATCCTGCTATGCAACAACTGACCATGAATAGTTGCACACCAGGTGAACAACACAAGGCATTATGAGGCTGATCTTGAAAAAACTGCAGCAAAACTGGATAATTACGCTCTGCTTTCAGATGATAGATCATTGTGTAACATCATTAAATGGGTTTATGCAAATGAGGATGTCAATATTCATGTTTTGTTCGAAATATGAAATATCATAGTTAGGAAGGAAGATGGACAGATGTTGTGTTTTCTCGTATTCTCACAGGAGGAGTTTGAAGGTCAAGACATTAGCATCCAGCATGGCAATCAAAGTTGCTGAGGATTACCTTAGATCCAATGTTGTTATTCCAAAAGTTCCTAGTTGTGTCATAGACAGGTAATCTCTGGCTAGATGAAGTGATGAACTATGAATTCTATCCATATCCTATGCATTTGTTTGAAATAAAGAAAATCTTGTGCCAGCCCAATAAGCTACAACTGGCAGAAGTAATAAAGAACTACGCCACCTCCAAGTTGGAGAATGCTGTCAAACGAATGATCACAGTGACAGATCACTACATTCTAGGTGGACTGCTTAAATTGGACGGAGGGGTGCACCTAAAGTTAATTCCAGAAGACTAAGCCGCATTCACTTTAAACACTGTTACAGCCCCTGTTGTTTTAAATGGTTTTGGGGTTGGGCCAAGCATTAAGGACTGTACTCTTAAGTCTCAGTGTAGAAATTTAAATGCAAACAAGATGAATATTATGGGGTGATAATATTTATTGGCAAAAAGGAGGAGGACTTGCTGAATGACACAAACAAGTAGACAGTTATCCAACTCATCGTGAAACATTTGTGACAGGCTGCAAAGTGATTGAAGCTGAAAGAGATGCCGATGTTGAGATTGCAAAAGAAACCGTCAAAATGTCTGCTATCAAATCTACCACCCTCATTAGAGAAAAGACAGATCTCCTTGTACTCTTGCTCTCTCATGTAGTGCTAACAAACTGCACTTAAATCTATTTCTGCTTGTGGAAGGCAAAATCAAATGTCTATAATTCTGAGATCCTTGAGTAGATACTCAGAGAAACGACTTGTAATGATCTATTTTTGTATTACTTTAAGAGATGTGACTCAATGTCCATGTATTTAGGATAGGAAAGAACGATGAGTCACAATAACGTGGCTGAAGATATGATGACCAAACAACACACGAGATGATGATGAAGACGTTTCGGTCCATCTTTTGATCAAGACGATCGACTTGATAATGGTCCAGGACGGACCAACACATCATCGTCTCTTCATCATCTGGGGTGTGGTTTGGTCATCATAGGAAAGAAGTTGGGGTTTCAAAGAATCAGTAATAAAAGGTAATCAGAGAATGTTTGAAAGCATTCTGTCCACCAAAAAACATATATAAAATATAAATACTGTAAATCCAAAACCATTGGATATAGTGCAATATAGTTCATTTTCTAATGTGTGGTTTCATCATTATATCTTCAGCCACATTATTGTGACTCATCAAATGAATATAAAAGATATTTCAGTGCTGCAAAAATTTCAGTGACCTAATCGAACGAACGAACTACATACACCACAATTATTGCTGTTTCAGTTCTTAATTCCATTGGCAACAATTCACCATAATAATGTCGAATTTAGCATGACTCCATTTAGTGGTACTTGCTAATATTAAGTAAATTACTCAAAGCAGAGCCATTCTCTAGCATCATACCAAACATTGTGAAATAGCTTCACTATGTTGACAATGTCTTGAAATCATTATTCCATGCTCTTTTGATCTACATAATTTTAGGAAAAGAATTAATGAAACGGCTGCCTCAGGTTCTACAAGTGAACTCTGCCTTAAGCTCTGTGAACCCAGCACTTCACTAGCTCATATTACACCCAACTCCACAATTTACCAGTAAAACCTCCTCCAACTCTGACCATTCCACTGTCTTAATAGAACATGAAAATTTTATTAAGTGTGATAATTTTTGTTGTTTTATTCCCATGTTAAATGACCTGTGTTATTCCAAATTGTTGGTTAATTGTTAACTCTCTCCTGACCTCATTGGAATCTTGTTGCCATTGGAATTGAGAGCTGAAACAGAAGTATTTGTTGTGAATGCATAGCTCGATTAAGTCGATGAAATTGTTGTAGCACCACGATATCTTCCACATTGATGGTGGGAAGAAGCAGGTGTTTTGACTGGTCATTATGTTGATGAGTTTTCCATTGGCAGTCACATTAGCAACATCACTGGGGCTCGATGAGTCTTGGGCTTACAAGCAGACTTGATATGTATCTGTTATTCTGGCTGAATTTGTGCAATTCCAGTGACTTGTAAACACATTAAAGTAGTCCTGCAGGGATTCCATATCCTCTGTGCCATCAGTGTCGGGCAGATTTTCTGCCTGACAGTTCGTTGAACCAATAAATGTACAGATCAATATCTATCTGTGGGTGATAGAATAGCCTGCTCAGAATGGAATTCTTCATGCTTGATGCACTTTTTAAGGTATTAACCTGAGTTTACCTGAGAGCTACTAACACTAGGGGCTTCAACGAGGACAGGAAGCCGGCAGCTTGTTGAAGGTCCCCCTATTTGCCTTGATCTTTTCCAGCTGTACTTTAAACGTTAACATAGTTTTGGCATTTACGGCTTCGGCAGGTAGGCAGTTCCTTGGGTTAATAACCCTGTGGGAGAAGAACCATCTCCTGTTCTCAGTCCTACATTGTGGCTTGTTGAGCTTGAGACTGTTGTGCCTTGTTTGTGTTACACCTGACCTATTGAAAAAAAATTTGCATCAACATCCTCCAAATTGTTCAGTATTTTAAGTTTCAATGAGATCTGCAATGTCATGCCTGGTTTGCAGTGTTAGCCCTTTGTCCCTCAACCATTCCTGATACGTGAGTTGACTTAGCTCTGGAATGATTTTTGTTGCCCGGTGTTGCACTTTCTCCAGAGCAGCTATATCCTAATGAAGATGTGGTCTCGAGGGCGCCTGACAGCTGGATGGACAGCGCTTCAGATTCGTAGTCCTGAGGTTCCGGGTTCGATTCCCGGTGGAGGCGGAGACAAATGGGCAAAACGTTTCTTTCACCCAGATGCCCCTGTTACCTAGCAGTAAATAGGTACCTGGGAGTTAGACAGCTGCTATGGGCTGCTTCCTAGGGGGTGGGTAGCAAAAAGGAGGCCTGATCGAGGACCGGGCCGCGGGGACGCTAAGCCCCGAAATCATCTCAAGATAACCTTAAGATAAGATAACCTCTATGCTTGAATACATTAATCCTTGACTTAGTCTAAGAGACCAAGGGGTTACTATGCTATTTATACAACCTTTTGCCAGTTTTATATTGGCTTTCAATAGTATATAGTACTGTAATAGTAAGTATATTTAATGTGTATAAAATTTCTTATTGTAGTAGTTTATATTTTTAATATGACCTAGATTAGCCATCAATAAGATTTTAATTTATTGCTGTAGCATGCTTAGATATTGGTTAACCACTGTACTAAATACTATTGACTACATACTTGCATGTTCTTTATTTTGTTACTAGCTGCACTATATTTAGATAAATAACCAGAAAACACACACCTTAAGTTGTAATAATGCTGTAACATTTATTCTTTATCAGATAGTGTTGGTTCGTAACCGACATGTTTTTCATCAATGAAAGTAAAGCCATTGCATCTAATTATTCTGTTGATAATCTTAAGCTAAATTCAGTTGCTGATCTGAAATGCATTTTTTTCTAATTAATTTTCTTAAACCTATTCAGGAGAAACTGCTAAAAAAAATATAATTCCACCTCCCCATAGTGAATTTGACAAACTTGAGTTTTTAAAATGGCAAGTTTTATAGAGAATAAACAGTGTTCTCAAAGTTTTTTCTACTGATATCTGAAAAGGAGGGTTATGCCTGGTGATTATCTCTTCAACAGGATGTCAGGCCCTCGGCAAGAGTTTGTGAAAGAGGCATCAGCTGTAATGGGATTAGTCTTCTTCACTTATCATGTCTGGTACTTGACTAAAGGAAGATTTGATTATGGGTACAACATGATGGTAAATGTTATTGTGGGTAAGTGGCCAGTAATATTATCTGAACTGTTTTGTTATATTCACTGTCAAACATGGTGTACTACATCAATATCCCTTATACTTTCTATGATGTTAACAATCAGTTAATTGGTAAATAAACTTTGCTGGTATTTGCAGGTGTCTTAAATGGCTTCGGATGGATTGCCTGGGCTGTACCGAGACTGAAGACAAGACCTTACGTTTGGTGGTGCGTGTTCACTGTGATAGGGGCCATGGCGTCAATGTTACTAGAGCTGGGAGATTTCCCGCCTCTCTTCTGGGCACTTGATGCTCATGCCTTGTGGCACCTGGCTACTGCTCCCCTTCCATTCATGTGGTACAGGTAAGAGTCAAAATGTTAGTTTAAAGAAATTATAATTGTTCTCTCTCTCTAATGGCTTGTAATGGCAGACAGTACATGATGAACATAGAATAACAAGTTTTTCTTAATTATTGCAAGGATAATACTATTTTAGAACTTTGTAATATCTTAAATAATACCTAATTATCTCCTCCCCCAGAGACTTTTTCATGGAATATCACGTTTCTGTGATCTCATTGTGCGTGTGTGTGTGTGTTCTTGGTAAGTGTTGGTTTTCAATACTATTTTTGTTATTCTCTCAACTTTTAAATTCAAATAAGTAATTTGTAATTATTTTCCTTAGATTTCTGGAGAGTGATTGCCTGTACCTACTACAAAGAAAATCAGGACCAGACTATAAGAAGCAGATTTAAGAAGGTATTATGACAAGTTAAAATTCTTTTAAATTATTATATCAATCTTTTACAATGGTCTGTAAATCAGTTATATATTTTATTTAAATCTTAATTGCAGATTTAATTGGATTAGGACAAGATGAACTGTTTTAGATATATGTATTACAGTTATCAAAATTTCTATAGTGTATAGTTTTATATAACCTTACCATTTGTAGGCTATTTTCAAAGCTATTATATAGTCTTTAACAGTGTAAAATAATGCTATATGCTGTGTTCCAAACCATGCAAATCTAATGACAATGAAACTGCAGGAATGGAATTAGGTAAGATTGCAGCTGGGATATGAACTGCCTATGTAGATGATTATGTTAATTATCAGCATGGGAATGACTGTGATAAGTATGTCACACTGTGTCAGGGTTTTGCCCTGGCACCCATTTTGTCATTTTGATGTTATTGCCAAAAAAGTAACCCCGATTCTACAGGAGTTAAGTGTTCATTTGTGTTAGGTGTGCTCTGACTTTGATTATGCAAGTGTAAGTGTGTGGTTACACAGGTGTATGTGTAATTACCTAAGTGTAGTTTTAGGATAAGGGGTGTGCTCATGGTGTCCCGTCTTCCTGGTACTCTTTGTCATGTAACACTTTGTGTGGTTACACAGGTGTGTGTGTGGTTTTAATAGGATGTGCGGCTAGCTCCAGTTATACAAGTTATTGTAGTTTTGGACATGATAGTGTATATGACTGCTCTCAAAATTTTAAACAAAATTGAATTGCCTAGTTCACATTGTGTATTGTTTATCTTTTAACATTTTAATTTAATTCCCATTGTCGGGAACAGGAAGCGTATACTTACGCTTGTATCGAGATCTTCTCTAGATCACACTACTGATATTCCCAGGATGCAATCCACAACAGTTGCCTATCTCTTTTGTACCTATTTACTGATAGATGAATGGAGGCATCAGGTGAACAAAATATGTGGCCAATCATTTGTGTCTTGCCCAGGGATCAAACTCAGGATCCCTAATGGCAAGTTTAAAAGGTAGACCACAGGACTGTACCTCTATGCATCTTAAGTACTGTAAGTGCATAAATATTGAATTTCTTGAATATTTATTATTCTTTAAGATTTCTATATTGCAGTTGTTGCAGATGAGTACCAAGGAATTTGTGTACAATGGGGCCTCGATTTATGATGCTAATCCGTTCCCAGAGACGGATCGTAAGTCGAAATATTGTAAGTCGAAGCGATTTTTCCCATAAGAAATAAAGGGATTTGAATTAATCCGTTCCCCACCCTCCAAAATATTAACATACAAATACATTTTATACTGAATACAATGTTTTTCTAACTACAATACAGTACCTAAGTTTATCTTACCTTTATGGAGGGCTCTTGATGGCATATGGAAGATGGTGATGAGGGGGGAGGAGGAGAGTTGTTACTGTTTGGAAGGGGAGTCCCCTTCAATTATCACATCAGGCAGTGATGTTTTCTCTGGGGTACACTCTCTCCTACGTTTTGCCTGAATACCACTAGGACCTGGTTGTGGTTCAGTGTTTGTTTGTCTCACTACAAATTTGTCAAGAGACATTTGTTTTTCCCTTCGTTTTAACATTTGTCTGTAATGATGCATCACTTTAGCACCCATAATGTCCTTTTTCTTAGCCAGTATGGTGGATATCGTTGACTGAGATTTGTTGTACTGCCTAGCCAGTCCAACAACCCGCACACCATCTTCATACTTACGAATGATCTCTTGTTTCTGCTCTATGGTTATCCTTACATGGGATCTAATATGTTGAGCCTTACCACTGACTTTCCTGGAACTCATGGCATGATATATAATAATTAATGTTCAAAATGCAAAAAATTACCACAAAAGCAAAATTTCTTATAGGCGCAATCGTCACTAAGTGGGCAGTTGTAGTAAACTGAGGCAGGTTGGCTGCGTGACCAGGAACCACGCGCTCGGTCGACCCGAATGTGTACCAACAAATATCATGTCGACGACACCATCGGATGTCGAGTCGCATTTTTCGATGAAATTTACATCGTAACTCGAAATTATTGTAAGTAGGGGCAATCGTAAGTCGAGGTGCCACTGTATATGGAAATTTAATAGCTGTATGTACTAAGTGAATATAATAAAAATGTAGCAAAATAATTTGCAATTGGAAAATTTGTTGTGGAAAATTGGGAAATTCTTGTTTAGAAAACTGTTAACACTTTAGTGTTCTGGTGATGTATAAACACAACATGCATCTCAAAATTTAAAAAAATAACTTTTTAATCATTAATTTCATCTTGTTTTATTTATTTATTTTTTGGCACAATGCATGGATATTTTTTCAAGGGATCAGCCAAAGTATCAGGGGACCATCGAAAGATCACATCGCCCCACTACTTAACACTCAAAACCATAATTTCTCTGCTTGTGATTATTTTCACTGTTCTTTGCAAATTACGTGATGGAAAAGTATGAAAGGTGTTTTTCTTTTTTTACTGTAATATAGGCCGATAACATGTGCGTACACTAGTTCCATATTTTTTATGTTGCAAAATTAGACGAGAAATGTTGAAAATGTGTGAATGTTGAAATTACTGTACCATAAAACTTTGTATACTGTGTTCAGCACCAGCACGTATAATCTATTATAAAAAACACTTTTATAAATTTAGTTTTGGCATCCATACTTTATCAAATTCATTTGTGAACATTCTGATGCCAAATTTATATACAGTATTTATACATAGAGTATAAATATTTTAGGCATCACTGAGCAAGGCCCTGAGATGCCAGGAATGTTAAAGGTCAGGAACACACCAACTGCCTGGAACATTGAAGTACTAAGTTTTGTATGTGCTAAAACTTAGATTTATTTCTTTGTCAATACACAGAGCAATGAACAGTAATGTTCAGTACAATACTGTATTTTCTATTTATTTATTTTTATACAAGAAGGTACATTGGGTTTGTGAGGATACATAGCATGGTGTTTACAATCTTGTAAAGCTACTAGTACGTACAGCGTTTCGGGCTGGTCCTTAATCTAACAGATAATTTTAAGTAGGTAAATTATAGCAAAATTTTTAAAATAACAGGTACATCGCAAGAAAAAAATGAGATGAGAGAGATTAGTAGGTATATTAATGCACATCAGTAGCTCTTATTGATTGCATTGACAGCTTGATTGGTAATTTGGCAAAGATTAATAGGTATAATACAGCATATTGATAGCACATATAAGAAGACAGCAATGATCACAATGGTAAAGTTGTTTGGATTAGGTACATAAAGATTGGGAGATTGGATAGCACTAGATAAAGTGCAATTTTACAGCACAAGATAGGAAACTATGAAGATGAAATTAGGTACTTTTTGGTTTTGTTTTGAATGAGGCAAAAGTTGGACAGATTTTCAATTCATTAGGGAGTGAGTTAAAATTTTGTTTAAAAGTTTAAAATACTGTAAAAGGCAGTATTCCCTTAGATCAACGTTTCTCAACTGGAATTCAGCGAGAATATTGTCAATGTTTATTTTTTGTGTTTATAGGTATGGTTGATTTTTAGTAAATAATAAATGCATTATTTTAGATGAATAAACATGTATTTATAAAATGTTTTAGGCAGGGATTCCTTGAGATGTGAAAATTACTTCAAGGGTTCCATAGGTGTTAAAAAGGTTGAAAAGTGCAGCCCTAACTGCCACTAGACTTTTAGCCCAAATCTTTCTAGACCTTCTTTAGAATGTTGGCCAAACAGACTTCTTGTTTCAAACAATGCATAACTAAAACATAATGTTGCAAAAACAAATCGCTTTCTACTCTTGTTTGCAGGCTAAGAGCTCATCTGCCCCACAGCTCATAGCATTACCTTAATTGTTTTTTCCCTGGAACTAGATCTACCAATTGATTTATTGCCAGGTTCTGACTGATGTGGAGCAAACAATTAACTCCTAGACTGCTCAAAAGTTTTAGCTGATATTTGCTGCAGACGAAATCGGAATTGTTTCATTCCAAACATATTGTCTGGGTCTTAGAGTATTGATGTATTCTTCCTCACAAAACCGTGATGATTTGAGCTGATGGGTGCTCAGAAACGTAAGTTTTTCCGGGAACAATCCGTGTGTGGCCAGCTAGTAATGGCGCCGGCAGCGATCTCCTGTGCTATTTATAAACAAATAGTTAAGACTGGTTAGTCCATCGCAGAAACTATAACAATTTGAAATGTTTTATTTATTACAAAAGTTCTTGAAAAGATAAAAGATCACATGACATAAAAAACAGATTTCTTAGTAATGAGATAACAAGAATAGATTTATAAGAAATAATAAAAGTACTCATCATTGATCCCTGTCAGTTGAGCTTGACACAGTACTGTACAGTAGTACTCCTCTACTGTCTACAATACAGTACAGTATTTTTAACATTCAAAGAAACTATTTTGTACTTATAAAGTAACAGAACATTACAGTGAAAGCTCACTAATTCAGACCTCGTTGATCCAGATCTCTGGGTAATTCAGCCAAAATAGTCGGAATTCTTGTTCACTTCAGACAAAAGTCTCTATTATAGGGTTTTTCTATCTGAATACCGAACGACGCGTTCCAGCCTTTTAATAACAAGTTATTTTTAAACAATGTATTAAATAACAAAATAGATATAATATACAAAAAAGTCATTAATTGTTAAAACTGCACTTACAAATCATTTTGTGCATGTCCCCGCTAAAATGGGGCAGATTGTTCAGATTGTGTGAACAATCTGCCGTGAAATATTATTTGCAGAATTCATGGCATGCAGCTGGGTTTTCTGTCTTAGTTTCATGGTAGAAGTTTATGAATATCAACTCAAAGAGCAACTGAAGTTCAGTTTTGCTATTGCTTGATTATGTCACTGCTCACCCCATTATTGACACATTTCTTTTATTTATTTATTTATTTATTTATACAAGAGTTCTTACACTCTTATACAGCCACTAGCACGTGTAGCATTTTGGGCAAGCCCTTATTCCTATGTTCCCTGGAATGTGACCCCACCAAATCGTTTAACAACCGGGTACCCATTTTACTGTTGGGTAAACCGAGGCTACAGTTAAGGATTGGCGCCCAGTAAATCCTCCCTTGCCAGGATACAAACCCAGGACAAAGCGCTCACAAAACACCAGGCGAGTGTCTTAACCACTATACCATGGAGACTTAACATTAACTGCAAATAATGGAAAAATAACATGTAAGGCACTGCCACCTAATACCCCCTCACTCATCCAGCCAGAAGAAGGTTGTACTGTACACCACAACCATACTTGAAGTTTTGTTGGTTTTACTTCTTGAGAAAGACAAAAAAGGCCAGAATACCATTGCACTAACAAAAAAAATTTAAGAAATATTCAGTCAAGGAAGCCATATATAATTGGACACAGTTGTAGAATAAAGTAAAGTCCACTTTGAAGAATTTGTTGTTGAACATCCCAACTGTTCCAATTAATGAGGTGGGAGATGACTTAAGGTTGAAGAATTTGCTGATGAAATCCATTGCATTTTTCAACAAGATGGTGAGGATTTAGAAAGGCAGGATAATGATCAAATCCACAAGGGCCGTGACGAGGATACGTACCTGCATCCGGGAGCATCCCAGACACTGCCTTAATCGACTGAGCTACGACAGGGTTAAAAAGAGTTGAAACTGAAGTTCTACTGAACTTTACTGGATCCCGTAGCCTCTCCGAGGCACAAACCAGGATTTTATACAACTCTCCCCTGCACCCGAGCTATGTCAATAGGCCGTTCTCTCGCTTCGCCCTTGCATCATTACACGAAGAGATCACACTAACGTGATGCATCAATATTTGTTCATTTGATGCATCATGTTAGTGTGATCTGTGTGTGTGTCAGGATAATGATGACTGGTTAGAAAATGATGCAAATTAACTTGGAGTGTGGTATACGAAGTGAGGATGAGCTTCTCCAGTCTGTTACAGGTGAGGTGGAGGGAGGTGAGAAAGAGGATGAGAAATGGAGGGAAAAAAATCCCAGACAACAAAGTTCGGTGAACTTATGACTTTTGGTGAATAATTAATTATGCATCTAAAATAGATTCAAAAATATTCAAAATAGTCATATTTGTTAAGATCAAAAAGCCAAAGACTCTCAATCAGTGGAGCCACAGCAGTTGGCCGGCAGATCTAAACTTGCTGTGTAATTTTAGGGCTAATTAAGTGTAAAAAATTGAAGTCTTTCATTGATCAAGTTGCTGCTCAACTAATTTCTATCTTCCACTATTTCCACAACTTCATTCAGAAGGACCATATTGTTGTGCGACATATTCAGTCACTAATGTCATTCAATGAACTAAAAATATCTTAGCAAAATTGTTGGGGCTAGGTGTAAAGAGTGAGTTTGTGTCAATTTGGTTTGAGGTGGAATGTGTGTGTAACAAGTTGACAGCTACTAATTACAGTACAGTATTACCGACTCAAGTGCAATCCAGGGAGGAGAGAATTTAGTGTAGACTGCTCGCCTAAACAAAGCAGTAGGAATATCACTGCTCCTTCAGCTGAGCTCTAAGGTTGCTGCATCATCATTCCAGTTAGACTCATGTGGCACTGTAAAGTGGGTTTATCCAAACACTTATCCACTTATCCAACAGCCCATCCTCAGAGCCAATCCATTACCATGAGAAACCACATTTCCCCCCTTCTCCAATCTAACCACCTGGATAGTTATCTAGACATTTGTGGTGGTCTGAAAGCATATTACGGTTCCAGTAATAATTTACATGTAAACTGGCAAGTGAACCTTTGTCTTCAACTGATTATTCTCAAGTTATAAGGTTATTGCATTATAAATTATTTAAAATATAAAAAGTTTAAAATATACAATACTCTACTGAAAATATATATATTTTTTTTAATTTGGTTTTCTGTAATGGAATTCTTGGGTATACTGAAATAGTTTTTAATTCCATATTTTACATTATCATCAATAATACATCATATTAACATAACCAAATGTAATGAAACCTAACCAAATCAAACCTTAACCTAACCTAACCATGGATAGAGAATAGATAATATCACTAATTTTATGTAGTCATTCTTAATCCATTCCCATCAGCGGATTTCGTCCCTAAGTTGTATTCTTAGAATAAAACCTAAAACAAATGCGAGGTGGGGTAATCAGCTGCTTTAGTCGCTTAGAATAAAAAATAATCTGAATACTGATGATATTTCACTGTGCATAATTTCAAACACACTGAATTAAATCCATTATAATAAAATCCTGCATAAAAAGGAGGCAAACTGCACAACTTGGTCATTTTGTAACATTTAGATTTTCCACACGATATGGGATGACCCGTTTTCTTAAACATTTAGAGAAACTGCACTAATAAAAGTGTAATAAACCACTATAAAAATAACTCCCATAGTTTTTGGATACTTATTCTGCTACACAGTACAGTACATTATATTAAAAATATAAACTTTGCTAATCATTGCTTGTCATCAAGGCAGTACTAATGGCTACAAAACACATTCACATATGTATTTGGGGACAACTAATACAAAATATATTGTGCTGAGACGTTTCATACATGCTAACCAGAGCCAGGTTCATGTATTTAGGGAGCATTTTTTGTCCACAACCAAAGATTATTCAGTGTATACCTCACAGTGCTTGCAGTTACGGCGTATGCTTTGCATTTATATCCCATTTATAAAATAACAAGGATTTGCCCTCTTGTCATACTTGATGTTTGCAGATCTGATGAAAAGTAATAATATTAATAGAATTTATTGTAATAGAACATTAATACTGTACTCATCAAGTCCATCTTATTGAGAAATTACCATGTTGAGCAGACGCAAAAGCAAACACTGTACTCTCTTAATTCATTACAGTACTATACTTCATGTTTTAAAGATGACTAAGACTATTGTTGAGATTTTGGGACTCTAGTTCTCAAGAAAATTATCCATATGAAAAATATAGTAAACCATTAAGTAAAGTGTTTGCCACTTCTATTGACATAACATGCAAATCAGAATGCAAACAATGAGTCACAATAATGTGGCTGAAGATATGATGACCAAACCACAACTCAGAAGGTGGAGAAGCGATGAAGTTTCAGTCCGTCCTGGACCATTATCAAATCGTTTGGACCATTATCCACACGACTTGATAGTGGTCCAGGACGGACTGAAAGATCGGCGCTTCTCCACCCTCTGAGTTGTGGTTTGGTCGTCATGCAAATTAGAATGATTGCACTTCAGTTTTTCTATGAAATTTATAGTCATAAGTTAACTGGAGAATTGGACATCTTTAAAAAGCAATTATTTGTTAAAAGTAACTATAGTTCATGAAAAAATTGTTGCCCACTAACTTCATTCTCAGGTCAAAACATAAATGCCCTACAGAATAATGAAAGGCATACTAACATGTAACACTGGACTAAATCCTTCAGGAATATCAGAAATTAAACAATATATTAGTCATACCACAACCTCAGCATAAGTTTAGTTAGGTTAATACAGTACTGTACATACGTTAAAACACAAATGTCACATTGTGTGGAAAAAGGCTGCCACTGATAGTGCAAGAGCCAGGATAAGATGCTTTACAAGTGAAAAAAAGCACTAGTTATACTCTGCATATTAGTTAAGATCAAATTGGAAACAAAGGCTGAATTAAATGGAGATTTGTACTCTTAAGATTGCCAGTGTATTACAGGTATTTAATAACCATATGTGAATTTGGTTAACAATTTTTTTTTTTTTTTTTTTTTTTTTACAAATCTTGCCTATTAACAGTATTTTACCTTGATACTGTAGTTAATTTGCTCAGTAATGTAATAGTAAGCCAGCTTTCGATTTTGTGTTCTTTGATGTTTAAATGTAAGATTTGCAGTTTGATACAGGCATACAATTCTGTATTTTATTTGTACAGGAAGTATTAACATGTATTCTAATTAAGAGAACAAATACACTTTCTGTACTACTATATAATAATGAAAATATATCGTGCTCATAAATTTTCTCAAACGCTTGAAATTGTACCTGTTTTTTTTAGTGTAACAAAGGTGTTAGATTTGTGTGCTGTACTGTACACTTCCTTAACGAGTCGTTTTGTGTATGTTAAGAATGTTATACGTATTTGTTAATTGATTGGGAAAGTTTTTATTAACCTTAAGAAAAATGTTTGTTATTACATGTAATAAATGTTGTTGTTGTTGTGATTCTTATTATATATTCAGTATTGTTACTCCTGATGGGTTTTCTTTATGTATTTATTCTGACCTTTTGACATTAAAATTATTCAGTGTTATTGGTTATTTTTATTTATTAAATGAAATTCTATAATTAAAATCACTCAAACATCTACTTCAGTTCTGGAGAACATATAGTCTACTAAAGTGGCTCCTCTCACCTCTGGCATAATCACTGATAAAACAACCCATCATTATCCTACATTGCTAAATATAAGCAAAATTATTTTGACTACTCACCAAAATGGCTGTAAGCAACTTTGTTGATGCATTTTAGTATATTAATTTGGAATTGGAATTAAATAATATGTATTACATGTGTTCTGCAAAAGACATTTTCCTTACTAAAATCCCAAGTCTCTGCAACATACACTGCCCTCTCTTTACCAAAACAAATGCCTGATAAGACTTGACAATCCATTGTTTACAAATTATATACCTGCACCAAGCTCCAGCTTGTTCAGCTATACAGTATAACTGAAGAGTACCAATGATACCATTAATTAATCAACTTGGCACTTGATAAAAATGAATTCACAATTGTTCTTTTCATTGATCTAAGAAAATGCTTCAGTACTGTAAATCACAACAACTTCTACTTAACTTAATATTTCAGCTCCACAGAACTTGAAGCCTCTCATTTTACATCCGAGTGTATCGCGACAACTGAGAAAAGCACATAGTCACCGATGAGATAACCTCTGCCAGTCCATTGAAAGCAGCGTACTAGGATCTCTGTTATTTCTTGTATACAATGATAATTTCAATTACCAAATTAATGCTAGTGCTGCATTTCATTTTATATTTTATTTTGAATGTTGCTGAACAAGTTGGAGCTGCAGGAAAAAAAAACTTTGGAATAATCAAATGAATCTTTGACTTAAAGGAAAAGAAAATGGTAATTCAGCTGTACAAATTTTCTGGTGGGCTCCCATTTGAACTCTTACTAGGAATGGTTGAGGGCCTCAGGACTAATGCTACTACACACCAGAGATGATAGAAATTATTTCAAGACCTTTAAAATACCGAACAAATTGGAAGACTAATCCAGACCACTGCTTTATAATATTTAATGTAACACACTTCAACAGGGTAACAACTTCACCTTCAACGCACCACAATATAGGACAAAACACAAGATGCTTTTTCACTTATAGGCTACATAGTCTTCCTGGCTTGGTGCCTTTTTTTGATGATCACTTACTTTTTCCCCCATAATGTAGTAAACCCATGAAATCACCTACCCACTGAAGCTGTAATTGCCAAGACAATACTTGAATTTAAAATTCATCTGGAAAAAATCCTCATGAACAATGGGTAACCTTTGACAAACCTCTAGCTTCATGGCCTTGACAGGGACAGAGATGGTGGCCCTCAGTTAAATTCAGGTAAATATTAATATGGACAGAAATACTAAATAGATATTTAAATGCCATGAAAAGTGATCATGGCTTAGGAAATTGGTGGTGGTATTAGCAGTGTCTGAAATACAAAATAATTGTAATGGTTTTAGAGATAATTGCCTGGAGATACTTTTGGTGGCAACAAAATTCTCACTGCCTCAAATTTTGATGAGTAGATTAGATATTTCACAAGCATATTGTAAATAGGGGGGCTTCAAATGGCTGAGTGAGTGAGTGTACCAGAATGTACACAACAAAATTTAACACAAATAACTAGTCATACTTTCTTAGAAATATATGAATAAATAAACAGCATGTTAGCTTATTTGACTTACACTAATTATTGAGTTTTATTTACAATTTGTTTCTGAAAAGGAATTCCTCTAATCATTATACTGTCCATAAATTTTTATGTAATATGTTTATAATATTTATGTTTATATAGCAAAGCATGTTTATGTATATAATATTTATGTATATTAACCATAAGAAAATACACATGATTACATACCCTTCAAACTAACAATGCTATTAATTTGCTTGATTTAAAAACATAAAGATACTAATAAATAAAGACAGGTATTCAAAGTTCAATAGTTTTATATTCTTAAATAATATTTTATAACTGATACTTGTACAACTGTTTTTTTTTTTCCTCTGTAATTTCTAGTCTAATATCAGATCCATTGCAATGTGAAACAGTAGGTGGCATAAGCTGCAATATTTGTGAAACAATAATCATTAGGAACTGTTTAATCCCTTTTTATCTAATTCTGATAGTTATCTGTGGTTCAGCTCTCACCTAAAGGCCATGGATAGTTTTACAAATATAATAGTACAGTAGTCACAAAAACGACACAAGTTAGCATCTTCTTCTTCTCGTCTTATTTGCATTATTTTTCAAATGGAGCTTCTTCTCAAGATCCTGGACCAGCTGCTCTGGAAGGGCCATTTTTCTGAAAATAAATAGTGTAAACTTTAAGAATCGGCTGGTAAATTGTCTTGCTTAGATTTGTCTCTTGTGACACCAACTTCGACTACTACTATTTTTTCTTTTTTTTAACTAGTATGGATAGTGAGGAGGAAGCTCACCTTTAACTGATGATACCAATATGTAAATGTGTAAGTTTTTACACAGGGTTTATGGTTATGATGTTCTGAAATATGCATAGATAATTTATTTATATACAAGAAGGTACATTGGGTTTGAGAGAATACATAGCATAGTATTTACAATCTTGTAAAGCCACTAGTTTGAGAGAATGAAATTAGCTAAGTCATAATATACGTGCAGAGTATATAAATACAAACTAAAGAAATGATGGTGAACGAATTGAAGAATGAAGGTAATCAGATAGAATATTAATATAAGAGGTTAATGGAGAACAAAAGATGGGTAGGAGCCAGTGCCAGATTTTCATACATTGGGTCCTTTTATTTACATGGCATGTTTGCATAGATTTAGTTTGACTCTGGGAGTATCAAAGAGATATTTATTTCTGGTATGACATGGGGTTCTAATTCTATCAGGGAAGAGGTTCAAAAAGGATTAGAATTTAGGAATAGGGTTTTGCAAGTGTAAGTAACACAAGAGTGTGTGTGGAGTGAGTGTAAGTTTAGCATGTTTAGGGATTTAAACAGGGGCTGTGTTGCCTTGATAAGAGATTGTTATTTTATTTTTCTGATAGTCAATTTGTATCTATCCCTTATGTCCCCACCCATCCCCTTCCCCCCAGGTCGAACTACTGACTTTATCCAGGATGCAGCCCCACAACGGTTGATTAACTCCCGGGTACTTATTTACTGCTAGATAAACAGAGTTATCAGGTTAAAGGAAATGTGAACAACCATTTCTCGCCAACCTGGGATTCGAATTTGGGAATCCTGAGTGTTAGTCGAGAACAAACCCAACTGTACCACCGAGACCCCAGTACATCACCAACCTTCTAGATTATTGCAGAATATGAAGAAGCCTGAAAATCATAAATCACGATACTCAAACTCCAAGGAAATAACATCGCCTTTTAATTAATTAAATAATTCTCAGAAACACTTCGAAAGGAGAGCGTGACGGACGCACACCGCACCTCACATTAAACTCGCTGTGATCTTATGTATCTTATGTAAATCCACGGACATTCAAATGCAGATTCCACTATCTCTCCGCATATCTCTACACAGTTCCATGATTGCACAAACTGCTTGTTGGTGGCATCCTCTTGAATGGCGACCTTTTCCTTTACTGGACGACAGGTAAGGAGAGTTTCGCTCCAGATCGAAGAGCAGTTAACTAGGGAGCACTAAGTCCGTCATGTCTCCAATTCTCGCTCTCACTTTCCCTCCCATCCAACCACTTTTACAGCGACCTTGTTATGAAAGCTGGAGTTCGAGGTAGAGTGACCATGCTCTGAAAGCTGGAGTTCGAGGTAGAGCGACCGTGCCCTGAAAGGTGGAGTTCGAGGTAGAGCGACCGTGCCCTGAAAGGTGACCTGCCCGATACCTATGCGTGTTCGTGGCTTTACAAAAATGTAAAAACATCAATGCTATGTACTCTCATAAACCCATTGTACCTTCTTGTAAATAAATAAATACATAAAAATAAAATAAAATAAGGTGGAGTTCGAAGTAGAGCGAATGTTGCTCTGAAAGATGTAGTTCAAAGTAGAGCTATTTTCCTCTAAGAGGTGGCGTTCAAAATAGAGCGACATTGGTCTAAAATGTCAAGTTTAGAGAACAGAATCCTTACTCTATGAAGTCTAGATTGTGAATGGGTCCTTAAACCAATTGTTGTCCAAGACGGGCTGGACATTACAAAGCTGCTCACCTCCCATTGGCTAATCTGTGCCGTCACCCGAAAGCGTCGTCACTTACCGTCACTCCTGACGGGGTTCTCAGAATTAAACCCTCGTTAACCTGATCTGGACGGCTTAACCTGTAACAGCCTACTTTTGAAGCTTAACCTACTTCCAAGATATTACTGATACACACTCAGATATTCACAGCTTAATAAACTTTTTTACCTAAGCTTAAATCACTCTTCAAAAGATAATTATTCCAAAATTAGCTAAGTCTTAACCCACCTCTAAACTAAATAAGCTTAAATAACTCACTTTTAAGACTTACTCTACCGTTATTTATTTATTTATTTATATATATACAAGAAGGTACATTTGGATTGTGAGGATACAATCCGTTAGCTGAACCTCAGCTGATCCTCAGCGGATCCTCAGCGGATCCGTTAGCTGAACCTGAACCCATCAAGTTGTCTCAGCTTAAAATATTGACCTCCAAAGCTTATTGCACCTTTGCCTAGAGTGTTACCCACCTCCAAGCTACAAGACAAACTACCTGAGTTCCTGCATGGTGTCCATCTTGAGTCTGGTGAGAGCCGCTTGTCTCAGCTTGAGCTGCAGGCTTGCCTCTTCCTTCTCCTGCCGCAGTCTCTCCGCCTCCTTCGCCCTTCTCGCCCTCTGTTCCTCAATCTGAGCTCGGATTCTGGATTCGTAGTCCTCCTTTGCCTACAGGAAGAATAAGCAGAACGAGAAAGAGTAAATCTGAAGAAGGAAGAAAGAGATATAAGAAAAATATAAGGAAACAAGCATATAATGATATAGCAATGTGTGTGTGCATGTAACAATTACAATATTATGTAATCAAACAAACCCATTGACCTTCTTGTAAATATATTCTTATTCTTATTATTATTATTATTATTATTATTATTATAGTACGTACAACGTAATATTTTCAAGTTATAATTATTTATATCACTGGAAGATTAATTATTTTTTATGCTTTATTAAGGTATTCATCTTGACAAGACCAGATTTAATGAAAAATTGACCGTGTGATGAGCGCAGTGGGTTCACAAGCGAACAGTTCCCGGGTTCCAGCAACCCGGGAACCCGAACAGTCCCGGGTTCCAGCAACCCGGGAACCCGAACAGTCCCGGGTTCCAGCAACCTGGGAACCCGAACAGTCCCGGGTTCCAGCAACCTGGGAACCCGAACAGTCCCAGGTTCCAGCAACCTGGGAACCCGAACAGTCCCGGGTTCCAGCAACCTGGGAACCCGAACAGTCCCGGGTTCCAGCAACCCGGGTTCCAGCAACCTGGGAACCCGAACAGTCCCGGGTTCCAGCAACCTGGGAACCCGAACAGTCCCGGGTTCCAGCAACCTGGGAACCCGAACAGTCCCGGGTTCTAGCAACCTGGGAACCCGAACAGTCCCGGGTTCCAGCAACCTGGGAACCCGAACAGTCCTGGGTTCCAGCAACCCGGGAACCCGAACAGTCCCGGGTTCCAGCAACCCGGGAACCCGAACAGTCCCGGGTTCCAGCAACCCGGGAGCCCGAACAGTCCCGGGTTCCAGCAACCCGGGAGCCCGAACAGTCCCGGGTTCCAGCAACCTGGGAACCCGAACAGTCCCGGGTTCCAGCAACCTGGGAACCCGAACAGTCCCGGGTTCCAGCAACCTGGGAACCCGAACAGTCCCGGGTTCCAGCTTACTGCAGGAAGTGACGTTTGGCTACGTTTCCTTACACCTGATGCCGCTGTTCATCTAGCAGTCAATAGGTATCTGAGAGTTGGACAACTGTAATGGGTTGTATCTTGAGGAGTCATTAGCCTTAAAGGGGCCTCCATAAACAAACATCATGTCACTGACTGATGGAAACCAACAAATGAGTGAAGTTTGACACTTTAACCGACCTTTTTGGCGTTCTGGTGTTCCGATCTTTCCCTCTCCTCTGTGATCATCCAGTGATCTGTCACCCGTAGCAGCTCTTCCTTCTGCTGCAGCGCCGCCGCCATGCGTGCCTTCTGCCGCTCCTCCACCTGCTGGCGGCGCTCCTGGGTCACCACTGCCTCCCGCTCGGCCTTCACCTGTGCCTCCAGCAGCTCCTTCTTCCGCCACTCTCGCTCAAGCTTAACAGAAGGAGAGGAAGAAGTGGGAAGTTTCGTGGTGAGTATGATAACTGTCATATGTGCCCTCCGAGGCACTTGTTTGTATCATTATATAGCTTCCGCCCTTTCATCTTCCTCTTTCAGTAACTTCAAGTTATCAAAATCCCTCCCTCCCTTTCTCCTATCGTTGCAGTCTTTCTTATAAATCCCAAAAGTGCCTCCTGTCCTCTTGTTTTCACTCCTTAGGCAACTCCTAAACCTGGATTCCTTCATTCCTGCTCCCCCTTTGTCCCTCCCTCGTCTTTCTTTATTTCTCTCTCCATTCTTAAGCATCTCAAAACACCTTCCCACCCTTTACTTCATTAATTTTCCACATTTATTTCGAAATTACTTAAATTATTCCTTTCCGTCCCAGACATCCTCCTGTCCCTATTTCCCACCAGTCGGCCCTTCACGCTTCCTTCTTTAGCTCTCGAAGGTGGTGCAATTCCACTTTTGCACGTTCACCCTTCCTTTTCCCCTTTCCATCTACCCGTGCCATCTCCTCTTTCTTCCCTACCCCCTCCCGCCTCCCACTCTTCAAGCACCTTCTCCAGCTCTCGAAGACGTCTCAGCTCTTCCCTGCGACGATGCTCAGCTAATTTCCGCTCCTGGTCCTTGAGCCACAGGTGCTGGAGATCGTCCTTGGCCCTCTTAAGAGCCTCCTCCTCCTCCTGCCTCGCCTGCTGCTTCTGCTCCTGCACCTTAGCTTCCCCCATCATCTGTGGGAGCACAGTAGTGTGGTAACACACAGACACCGACAAGTTGGTGTACACACACACTTATTTATATATATATATATATATATATATATATATATATATATATATATATATATATATATATAGATATATATATATATATATATATATATATATATATATATATATATATATATATTTGTATATACAGTTGGCATTGTTTTCCTCTGTGTGAAGGAAAACGTGTACAAATTTTATTAGTATAATATACAATATATATATAAATGGTTAAGTTACCAATATTTTAAATACAAATTACGTATAACAGCAATCAAAGCCTTCCACATTTAATACTGTCCATTCACTACACTTGTGTTATCTAAATATTTTCCTCCATTTCCTGTAACCTCGTACACAAAGCTGCTTTCATATGTTAATATATATATATATATATATATATATATATATATATATATATATATATATATATATATATATATATATATATGGTATTAATTTATATATATATATATATATATATATATATATATATATGGTATTAATTTATATATATATATATATATATATATATATATATATACATTATATATATATATATATATATATATATATATATATATATATATATATATATATATATATATATATATATATATATATATATATATATATATATATATATATATTTATTTATTTCACAACAGAGGTTCCTCTTGGGTATCTTGATTTAATGATGAAAAGGATGAGCAGGGCGATGGCAAACATCTCTTGAAAGTGAACATTATTTTTAAAGTAATCCACAATGAGAACTGTTAACCTTAAGAGCCTCACAACCAATCAGGATCCAAAGTGATATAGATCAGTGAGGCGGGATCCATAAAACTATGGTAGTGCATCTTCCTCTCACCTTGGCATCTCTCAGCTTCTCTGTCTTGAGCATCTCCTCCTTCCTCACCTCGGCTTCTTCTCTCACCCTTTTCGCTTCTCTCTTCTCCTTCTGCACCTTCTCCTTCTTCTTCCGCTTCTCTGCTTCCTTTTCGGCGTTGTATTTTTGCGCTTCTTTGGCGACACTCTGGGCTTCCTTGGGTTATAAAATGTGTGTTGACATGTTGTTGTTGTTATAGATTCAGCTACGCGGAACAAGTTCCAAGCAGCACGGGCTTTGGTGAGCCCGTAACTTACCTGGCACAGGAGCGGGGCAAGTAGCACGGGCTATGGTGAGCCCGTAGAGAACTTACCTGGCACAGGAGCGGTGCTGTGCGTGTTGACAGTCACAGAGTCTATATAATCTTATAATCACAGCCTATAGCTGTGATTAGAAAAGCCTATATAATCACACGCCAACAGTGACCAGGGAAGAATGTGAGAACCTACAGAAAGGCTTAACAGACTGCAAGGACGATCTAACAAGCGGCTGCTAGAATTCAACTCCATAAAATGCAAAGTAATGAAGATAATGCTGAGGCGGGCAAATAATGCACCTGCAAGTTGTTGACATTCACGTGGAACTTTTTTTTAAAGCTTTAAAGGTAAGTGTACACATTCTTATTTTCATTTCTCAATCTCGCTCTCACATTCTCTCTCATTATTGTTTTGCTGGAAACGGTTTGTGTAAAATTGGCTTCATTAATAGGTGTAACCCTGTCCCTAAACCTGTACATTACTCTTGTGTAATTTGTACACATATTCTTTTGAATACAGATTAATATTATTATTATTATTATTAATATCTTTCATTTTCTCTCTCTCTCTCTCTCTCTCTCTCTCTCTCTCTCTCTCTCTCTCTCTCTCTCTCTCTCTCTCTCTCTCTCTCTCTCTCTCTCTCTCGCACGCACACCTACCTTCCTCTTCTCTCTAAACAGCTGATGTTTGACGACCTTCGCTTGCTGTATTTGGTGCGCGAGAGCCAGAGCTGAGAGGTGATTGGCCTCCTGCCTGGCGTTGTCCCTCTCCTCCTGTTCCTTCACCCCTCTCACTCGTGCTTCCTCCATCATCACTGCCTGCCTCTCCTCCTCCTCTCTCTCCAGCTCTCTGTAGAAATAGGAGGAAGAAGCCATAATGAAGGAAGGTAGAAGTGTATGATAGGAGGAAAGAGGGAAGGTAATTTGGTGTTAAAAATGTAGATGGTTGGCAGGGACCATCTGGGTGGCAGTTAAGAGAGACAATTTCTATACTGCACCAGTTATTGTCATTCGTTCCGCAGGTTGTCAGGACTCAGCTGTCAGCCGAGTACGAGTGTCAGCTAAATACTACGTGTCAGCTAAATACTACGTGTCAGCTAAGTGCCACGTGTCAGCCAGGTACCAGTGTCAGCCAGGTACCAGTGTCAGCTAGGTATAAGTGTGAGTTAGGAGCAGAGTGTCAGCCGTCAGTCACCTGATGTGTTGCTTCTCCAGAATCTGCGCCTCTCTGATGGCGTGACACTTGGCCGCCAAGACCAGCTTCCTCAGCTCCTTCACCTCCTCTTCCCTCTCTAACTCCTCCCTCTGGCGGCGCTCCTCCTCCATCCTTGTGTCCTGAGGGAGGAGGAGGAACAGGTAGTGAGGGAAGGGGGGTCAGAAGATAGTGAGGGGGGGACCTGAAGGAGGCAAGGAAAAGTTAAAAAGAGGCGAGTTAAAGAAGTTTTGATCAGGACACATCAGTCATTATACTCACAAACGCCAAGAGCTCGACTTATACAGCCGATAGAGCTGGTCCACTCGGCTCTGGGGAGCCTCGTCATTTTGGGTCTTCCCTCTGAGGTCTTCCCCAACTTTCAGGTCCTGGCATGACTCACCAGCTCAGAGATCCTCACTAGAATGTCCTGGACGGCTGGTCACGGCTCCCACCCCCCTCGTGACACTGACAAAACCTAGCAACTGGCGTTTCGTCCATCCATATGTTACGTGATAAATCCATGCCCGGCCACACCCCGAAACATCGTAGGCGTTGTAACGTGACAAAACTGGAACGTGTTTGTTTAAACTTGATGTCACAGGCTGGTGTCAGCGGCTACAACAATAACCCCCCCCCCCACACCGTCACCCCTGTCTTCCTCCCCCACCATAGCCACCGTCACCCCAGTCTTTGCCCCCACCATAACCCCTTTTTCCTTCGGCTTCCCCCCCCCCCACCCCAACTCACCTCCTTACGGCGAGCTCCTGGAGGCCACGTCTCTAAGCTTCTTAGCTCATCTTGCTGTCTCTGTCGCCGGTATCGTGCCTCCATCATCTCATGCGCTCTCCTCCTCTCTTCCTTCTCTTTTAGGGCCTTCACCGTTGCCGCCTTCGCCGCCTCCACCTGCTTCAAGCGTGTCTCCTCGCTCACCTGTGGAGGTCGGGAAGCCAGAGGAAAAAAAGTGACAAGACAGGTAAACATAGAGGAAACTCCCTCTCCCCCTTCCTTACACACACACACACACAGGAGCCACACACAGATTTCTTTCATTCTTGTACAGCAACTAGCACGCATAGCGTTTCAGGCAAGTCCTCAATCCTATGTTCCTTGGAATACGACCCCCACGAAGAATGGTTTTTACAACCAAATACCCATTTTACTGTTGAGTTAAACGGAGGCTACAGTTAAGAATTTATGCCCCATATGCTAGTGGGCATCCCTGGCCAGGATACGAACTCAGGATCCACAATCAACTTGAGAATGGTCCAGGACGGACCGAAACGTCGTCGTCCCTTCACATTCTAGTCTGTGGTCTGGTCATCACGAACTCAGGACAAACCGCTCGCGAAACGCCAAGCGAGCGTCTTAACCACTACGCCGCGGAGACTGATTCTCACAAGTATCCCCCACACAGGACACTCACGAGACTGAATATAACTAGAACTCAGAACAGATTAATTGTGTATCCAAGCGTCAGCATCAATTCAACGAAGGTAAATCCTGCTTGACTACCATATTCGAGTTCCACGACACGATTACAACAATAACAAAAAAAAAAAGAGAGAGACCTGGAGAGACTGCATTTTCCTGGATAATCAGAAAGCATTTGACATTGTTCCCCACAAGCGACTCCTAAGCAAATCAGAGGAGCAGGTTGGTGAATTGAGAAGAGTGCCAAGCTTAGTGAAGGAGTACCTTTCAGGAAGGAACCAGACGGTCGAGGCGAGAGGGAAAGTATCAGAATGAAGAGATCATGAGTAGAGTACCATTGGTGTCGGTACTAGAGCCCATCATATTAGTAATATACGTAAATAACATAGAAAATATGTTCATTCAAATCAATGTTTGTTGACGATGCACAACTAATGAGAAGGGTCAGAACGGCGGAGGACTAACCATACATTGTAAAATGGACTAGAAATATATGGAAATAAAGTGAGTCCCAGGGGATGTCAAAATGAGGTTCTACAGCATGAATCTCGTATATCAATAGATGGGTTACATGAAGTTGTCGATGCTAATTTACGACGCAGTTTTAAATCACAAAGCACAACACAAAGCCGCTATTAGAACAATATCCAACTCTGGCCCCAGACATCACTCGGTACCCCTACTCAAATCTCTTAATATGTTAGATATTAAGTCACTGCACATTCTCTCATGTGTATTATACATATATAAAACGCTAAACTATAATGCCAATCCTGATCTTAAAAGCTTCATAGTAGGTTGTAACAGAACCCATGAGCACCACACCAGAAATAAATACAGTTTTGATATTCCTAGAGTACGTCTTAATCAAACTAGAAATGCTCTGCAAATCAAGGGGCCCAGAATGTGGAATGACCTTCCCAACCATGTTAAAGACTGTACCTCTCTCAACCAGTTTAAGATAAAAACTAAACACTACCTAATAAATTCCCTGTAATCTACCTCACTCCTCTATTGTCAACCCATGTCTGTTATTTTCTTTTTTTTTTTTTTAATCAACACTGTTTGTCAACCTATTGTATTTGTGCTGCTTTTTCAGTCATGTTTCCCCCTTTTTTTTTATCTTTATTTGTATTTGTTCTCAACATCTTTTATTCTTTATGCTCAATTAGTATTAAGTTCTAGATATTAATGTTTTCTTGCCCGAAACGCATTGCGTAATAGTGGCTTTAGGCATTGTATGTACTAGCTCTATCTATATATCAATCCATTAATGTAACATCACTTGTATGTATATACCTTACCTGAATAAACATCTGAATCTGAATCAAACATCTGAAATATAGATATGGTAAGAAAAACTAGTGATAACAGTCGCTCTAGTCGGGATAGGGGTATGAGGTAGTCTGGATAGGCTATTGGAGAATCAGGATAGGGTATGGGTAGTCGGGAAAGTGTATGGGATAGTCAGGATAGGCTATTGGGGAATCAGGATAGGGTATGGGTTGTCGGGAAAGTGTATGGGATAGTCAGGATAGGCTATTGGAGAATCAGGATAGGGTATAGGTTGTCGGGAAATGGGGTGCATAATAAACGAATTAACTTAATAACCACGTACCAAGTGAGCGGCGTCCTTGATGGCCTTAAGCTGAGCGGGTGAGAGGAGCACTGCGGGCAGGGCTGAGGAAGGCGCCGCTGGGGCGCTCCGCCCCCTCAGCCGCCGGACACTGTCCCGCCCCACTACCACCACCTGCCGCCACAACCACAAAAACCACCACACTTTATGCCTGACTAATTTATCTACAAATCGTTACTCTTTTTCACATGTGCACTGTCCTAAAAAATCAATGATACATTTGTTTAATGTCTTAAAAATTAGAGTGGAGAGACACTATATATATATATATACACAAAATATACATATTCAATAATAACAGGACCTATACTTTGTTATAGGTAATACAAAATTATGGAGTGTTGCGCCTATATATGTCCACACTCTATCCAAACGTACGCCCACACAACCCAGTCACACGCCCACACTGTCCAATCGCGCTAGCTAAGCACACGCCCACACAACCCAATCACACGCCAACACTACCAAAGCACACCCCCACGCTACCCAAACATGCCTCATGCTACCCAAACGCGCCCACACTACACAAAGATACACCTTCACTCCCCAAATACACGCCTATGCTACCCAAACACACGCCCACACCAGCACCCACCGTGACGGGTGGGGTTCGACTTTCCCGTCCCAGAAGCCTAGCGCCAGCTACGCCGAAGGGGTCCGCAGGCGTGTCTCCCAGTCTGGGCGCCGTGCGAGGCCGCCCACGCCCGCCTAGGCCTATCATGCGCACGCCTCCCTGGTCCATCTCCACCACCTGTGTCAAATATCAAAAGTAAGTGTATTGTGCTATGGGCATTTGAAGTCTATGGCCTCGAATGTTTGAAGTTTTATCTACTATACTATTTAGTACTTTTATCTGGTATATTTACACACTTTTCTGTAAATATAATGACACCTGAAATACCCAAGATTAAGAAACCAATAATTCCCAGTTAGTGTATCTATGTCCCAGTTAATGGTTTGTATATCCTAGTTAATGTGTCTATATCCCAGTTAATTTACCTGAGGGCTACTAACACTTTAGTGGCCTCGATGAGGACAGCAACCCGGCGGCTTGTCAAAGGTCCCCCCTCCTATTTGCACTGATGATTTTTTCTAGGTGGATTCTAATATTCAATATTTTGGGATTTACGGTTTTTGCGGGTAGGCGGTTCCATGGGTTTAGAACTTTATGGTGAAAAAGCATCTCCTGTTTTCAGTCCTGCATTGTGACTTTGTTGAGCTTGAACCTGTTGCTCTTTGCTTGTGTTACATCTGACCTTTTGAAGAAGTTGTCTATATTCCAGATAATGTCTATATCCCAGTTAGTTGTGTCTATATCCCTTTTAATTAAAACTGTTTATATTCCAGTTAATGGATTTATATCCCAGTTAGTATGCCTATGTACCAATTCGTAGTGTCTATATCCCATTTAATATGTGTCTATCCCAGTTACTTGCATCTGTATCTCAGTTCGTGGTGTCTATATCCCAGTGTCTATATTTCAGTAAACGACAAATATAGCCCAGTTACTGCTATCTGCATCCTGGTTTGTGATGTCTATATCCCAGGTAACGGTGTCTATATTCCAGTTAATGGCATCTATATCCCAGATAATGCTGTCTATATTCTAGGTAATAGTATCTTTATCCCAGTTAATGGTGTCTATATATTGTGTCATCTATATCCCAGTTAATGGTGTCTGTCCTAGATGGGGTTATATAATAATAATTCATTGTGTCGGGGGACAGGCAGCCAGTTCATATCGAGGCTGGCTGTAATATAGTTTGTTTCCTAGAGGCTGTAGATTTTTTTCGAACTCCGACGCCGGGCAGGAACCGAGGATGCAGCAGGCATTCCCGCTCTGGATCGCTACACTTAGGCGCTGGAAGAGAAAACTTGCCGCTCTAGGGTCTCTTGTAGCCAATTTCAACCTCGATATAGGTGGAGCGAGCATATTAGTAGTAGACAATAGTAGTAGATAATCTACTCGCTACATAGTTATATCGAGGTCTTCCCCTTGGTCGAATTACTGACCCTCCCAAGGATGCAACTCCACAACAAGCTAACTTAACTCCTGGGTACCTATTTACTGCTAGGTGGATAGGGGCACTAGGTGATAGGAAACGAGCTCAACCCTTCAATGTTCCGGCTAATGAGGTAAATGCCCCAGTTAATAGGGGACCAATGTCCACGTTAACGGGTCAATGCCCCAGTTAATGGTGAAAAACATTATTGGTAACACCAGTTGTGTCCTTTCCGCTGCCCCCCCTCCCCCACTGATTCATATTTAGTCGTTCATTAATAATTTAATTCCATACCTTATACAATGTGGAGAGAGATGAGAAAGAAAAAGCTGTATTGTGGCATGAATCGTCTGACTAGTGTAGTGTGCCGGGCAGACGGGGGCGTCTCAACCCGTGCACAATACTGCGGTGTTTGGAGGGATTTACTCAATCCACATTAGTGACAATTACAACTCTGATTCATTTACGTGATACCTACGGACATATTTTATTAAATTAGAGTTTATTTGTAGTTTTTAGTTATATAAAGTCGGTTGAGTGTGTAAATTAGTATGATAATTGTACATAAAGAAATGGATGAAGCCAAAACGCATCGATTAAGACAAAAGGGAGTTACCCGTAGAGCGTCACCGTTGTCATAGCAACGAAATAGGAATATTGCCTTTAAAATACTTGTGGTGATCAACAGAGATTACTACATAGTATTCTTCAAACGTATTCATAGACAAATATTTGAAAATTTTATACCATATGACATCCACAAACCTATTTGCCATTAATGATATCTGTAATTACAAATACAAATACAAATATTTATTCAGGTAAAGTACATACATACAAGGTGAAATACAAAAGTTGATGGATTTATAGATAGAGCTAGTACATACAATGCCTAAAGCCACTATTACGCAAAGCGTTTCGGGCAGGAAAAACACTAAGACTAAAACTTAATACTAACTTAGATTAAAGTATAAATTGTGTTGTGAAAAAATCAGAAAAAAAATTAAAAAAAGGGGGTGGGGAAACATGGCAGAAAAAAAAGCAAAAATACAGTTTGGTCAACAAACAGCATTGTTAAAAATCGTAGACATGGGTTGACATTTAGGGGTGAGGTAGGTTACATTGAGTTAATTAGGTGGTACTTATAGTTTTTATCTTAAACTGGTTGAGAGAGGTACAGTCTTTAACATAATTGGGAAGGTCATTCCACATTCGAGGTCCCTTGATTTGTAAAGCATTTCTAGTTTGACTAAGTCGTACTCTTGGAATATCAAATAGGTACAGTATTTGTTTCTGGTGTAGTGTCCATTGGATCTGTTACAACATTCTAGGAAGCTTTTAAGGTCAGGATTGACATTACAGTTCAGCGTTTAATATACAGTATATAAAATACACATGAGAGGATGTGCAGTGACTTAATGTCTAATATATTCAGAGATTTGAGTAAAGGTACCGAGTGATGTCTGGGGCCAGAGTTGGATATTGTCCTAATAGCAGCTTTGTGTTGGGTAATTAGAGGACGTAAATGATTTTGGGTAGTAGAACCCCAAGCACAAATACCATAGTTGAGATAAGGATAGATGAGAGAGTACTAGAGTACTAGGTACTTAGTACTAGAGTACTAGTACTAGAGTACTAGGTACTTTATATACCAGGGCAGGGCGAGGTACATAATATCTGATCTTAGAAAGAATGCCAACAGTTTTTGAAACTTTTTTTGATATCTTTAGAATGTGTCCCTGGAAATTCAGCTTGTGGTCAATGAGAATGCCAAGGAATTTGCCATCTACTTTGTTACAAATTTGGATATTGTTTATTTTGAGATTTATTTGATTAGAGGATTTATTGCCAAACAAAAATATAGAAAGTTTTGTCAATATTGAGGGTGAGTTTGTTTGGCAGTGGGCCAGTGATGGACTTTATATAGCTCAGTATTCACTGTGACATTTAGAGCAAGGGGGTTAGGACTGGAGTAAATGAAGGTCGTGTCGTCAGCAAATATAATTGGTTTGAGATGTTGGGAGGCATTTGGGAGGTCATTACATTTACATTACATTACAATTACATTAATACATGTTCCCCAAAGTTTCCGGGAATCACTTGGATAACCCAGAGTAACTAGCGAGTTTTCCATGAGGCCAAATGATGATCAACCTGGCAAGTGAATAGCAAATTGTGCCCAAGACGGTCAGGTGGACGCAGACATAACATGGTCGAGAACACAGCGTCACCATTACGGGCTATTCGTGCCCGTGTTACCTCTTAGGTGGCTTAACCTTCATCAATCATCAGCGTCATCAGTCTAGTTCCAACTCTCACTCCAATCATTACTACCCTCGGTACTGACACCCAATCCCTGTCTTATCCGAGTTGCAAGCTCTTACCCATTATCCAAGCTCTTACCACTTATCAACCACTGCAAACTACCTCAAGCTCATCATCACCCAGCACAAATCTGCTATCAAAACAATAACAAACTCTGTATTCGGACAACACACAGCCTCCCTGTTTAAATCCCTAAACATGCTAAACATAAACTCCACACATTCTCTTGTGCCATTTACATGTACAAAACTTGTTCCTAGATGTAAATCCTGATCTGAAACTCTTCCTCGACAGATGTAATAGGACCCATAAGCACCACACCAGAAATAAATATCTTTGACATCCCCCAGAGTCAAACTAAATCTGTGTAAAGACTCTATGCAAATAAAGGGACCTAGTCTATGGAACTCACTCCCAAACGAATTAAAAAGCTGTCCAACCTATGCCTTTTTCAAAAGTAAAACCAAAAAGTACCTAATTTCATCCTCATAGTTTTCTACCTAGTGCTTTAAACTCGAACTGTATCTTGTGCTACTCCAAAATTTGTGCCTAAGCCATATAACTTCACCGTTGTAATCACTGTCATCATCTTATATCATAATTGTCACGTGAACGCAAATTTTACTACAATGTACCTGTTGATAATCATAAAATTTTACTATAATGTACCTATTAATTTTCATCCAATTTTCTTACAATAGTCCTCTTAACTTTTTCAATTTTGCTACAAATTACCTACTTAAAATTATTTGAGTAAGGACCTGCCCGCAACGCTCCTCGTGTTAGTGGCTTTGCAAGAATGTAAAAACTTAAATGATATGTACACTCACAAACCTGTAACGTACGATTATGTTAAGTTGTTGAGTAAAATAAAATAAAATAAATATAATGTTTATTTAGGTAAGGTACATACATACAATAAATTTTTACAAAGATTGGTTGACTTATAGGTAGAGCTAGTACATACAATGCCTAAAGCCACTATTACGCAAAGCGTTTCGGGCATGAGTAGATTAGATACACAGTGTTTAGTGGGGTTTTCATATTTATTTAGTAGTCCTGGATACAGCAGTGTCGTAGACGTTGAGACGGAGCTTGGAGCAGAGCAGAGAGCTGAGTGTGGCCGGTGTCGCGGAGCTCTATGTGGGGGAGCGTGGCGGCTCGATGGGGAATCGTTAAGTGTCTAAACTTGATAGGGAGCGAAAGCATTGTAGCTCGATGCGGTCGTAGTCTGCTGTCTGCTCTGTGTCGAAGCTGTAGTGTCTTGGGGTTAATTAGAACTGCATACGCCGAGTGCTACATTTTTGACTATGGAAATTGTTCTGTTGGCTATTCGCATATCGCTTGCTTATATTCGGTGACTACATCTCAGCTTCCTCCACTAGGATAGGAGGATGGAAGAACCGTTACCTGTAATTAGGGAAGAGATTATAGCTTCTGTAATTAGTGCTAATTAGTTATGCCATTAAGCTAATGAGAAGTTAGAGTGAGTATATGTTTGTACTCGCTACAAATCCAATGTACCTTCTGGTATGGTTATAAATAGATAAATAAATTATCGAGCTCCAAGATCTTAGAGCTCTCTCAGCTCGCCCCATCCAGCCTCGCTCAAGCTTTTTGCTGTCGGTTAAGAGCTTGAGCGAGGCCACTAACACTAGTGGCCTTCACGAGGACAGGAAGCCGACGGCTTGTTAAAGGTCCCCGGCTTGTCAAGGTCCTGGTAGTACAGTCGGCCCTCGTTCTCGACTCACAATCGAGAGTTTCGGGTTCGAATCCCGGCGGGAAGACGCTGCAGCAGAACCCATAGATATTGTACAAGAATTAAGCTTCTATCTGATGTTTCTCATAAGAAAATATTGGATACACAACCCCAGGTGTTACAGTAGTCACAGTCTTGTTATGAACATAGGCAACAGGTCGACAGTTTTTTTTAACTGGTTTAAAAAAAATGTAGGGCCTATAATTAATAATTTTTTTAGTATTCTCTTCGCCAGGCATTGCGAGTTTGTGCTAAAATTCTTGAAAAAGACGATAATGAAATTTGTTATATAAATTATATATATTTTCGTAATAGCAATAATTAATGACAGGATGAGGATGATGCAAGAAGTTGAGGAGGCGGACGCTGAGATTCATCATGGCCGCTGTAAACATGACATCAGCGCTGGCTCGCACGCTCTTCACACATTCCACTATAGTTAGAAAAACTGCATCGGCCGGGTATGTGTCCCTGCATGTTTGTTCATTTTCTGGGGAGTTTTGTTTATTTCTCCGTCATAACTTTAGCGTTGATGTAAGGGGGCAGCAGCAGCACCTGATCCCCGGGGTCCCGGCAAGGGTTTGTTTACATGTGCCAGCTGCAGACGATGGCAGTCTTGCTTATAAGTAAATAATAAATAAATAAATGTTCATTCAGGTAAAAGTATATACATGAGTTACAAACAGTATGTTGGATTTCTAGATAGTGCTGGTATATACTATGCTTAAAGCCACTAATACGCGCAGCGTTTCGGGCAACTTTAATTAATTCATATTACTGTACTGTAATTCATTGTCAGGGAACAGGCAGCCAGTGTATAACATATATGTCATCCTCCGGTTTAGAAAGTACCTATTGTGTCGGTCATCAATAGTCACGTATTCGTAAGTACGTAGCTTTTTGATTGTAATATACTGACTAGTAAGGAATGCTTTTAATATAAATTTAGCTAAAAACGAACACATATTCCTAGTATAGTAAACATATGTACTTTATTATGCCTCGGATATTGTGAATTAGACCTAGAAAGGTTAGGTTAGATTAATTTAGTTTGTCTTTGCAACATAAGTAAAAAATAGTTTTCTGGTTTGTCCTACTCTATAGTTCAGATTTCTACTTTATAATTTCGTTGTACGTCGGCATATATACTATGGTCTTCATCGTTATTATAAGTACTAACAAATCAGGAAGATGGGCTGTATATATACATGTTAGGCTTATATTGATGTCCCCTCAAGGTCATATTACTGACCTGCCCAAGATGCAACCCTAAAAGAAGCTGAATAACTCCTGGGTACCTGTTTACTGCTATGTGAATGGGGGCATTAGGTTATAGGAAATGCAACCAACCATTTCTGTCCCGCCTGGGATTCGACCACGGAATTCTTGGTTGTCGAGTCGAGAACCAACTCGACTATTGCCAATTTATTGTGGTAATCAATTACACGCGCTATGCATGTGGGTAGGATAGATCCCGTTTTAAGGGGATCAAATATGGTAACACTAAATATATTGGTGAACCTCTGTTGATTCATGTGATTTTTCATGTAACATCATCTGTATTTGATCAAACTTTTCGTTTTCCTTATTTTCAGTTGTAATGCTCAGTATTTTGCTATGTCAGACACTTGTATTTCTATAAATTTTAAGAACTGTGTATTTGAAAGACCTGCAGGAGACCAGAAGGCTCGAGCCTCTTGCCCCTTCATCTTCCTGCCATGAGCCTTCTCCTTGGAAGGAAACCTTCTTATCCTATGTGACTTTGGCTCTGCCCCAGAACCTTCCTGGCAGCCTTCTGTGGTTGAGGGGGAGCCCAGTGCCCTTGGGTGCCTCTCAGGCATTTTTGGAGAGAAATGAAGGGAAGCCTACTTTTGCCTCCCTCTATAGGGGGTCTTCTACTGCAAGGAAGTTATTTTTCATATCGTCCCTCCTTGTACGAGTTGGATTGCTCGACTGCTTCCCCTCGGGTTTGGTTTAAGGTCACATTCAGTGCCTCGGTCATATTTCTGGAGGTTTCCATCTTCCCACAATGCGCCTTGTGTGGTTGGTGTGGATTTGCTTCGTTACCTCCTGCAGAATGGGAACCTGTTTTCCATGATGAACCTAGCCTCTTGTTTTGAGAGTATGGGTCTGATTCTGCCTATTCATCCTGGCTGGCTGATTACCCTCAATTTTCCTTAGGGACTTGGAAGGGCTTCTGTTGGACCCGCACATTTGATGGGCGGTAGGAGAGTTCCATCTTTCAGGTCTTCCTGGGCTGTGCTTCACTTGCTCCACTCTTAAGCTATCTATTTGCTCTGGCAACTTGCAAAGATGTGGGCAAGTGGCAGCTCCATGTGCAGCTATCTGGCCTATTCGGACGCCCTTATTGCGGAAGACCATAGGGAGTACTCTTACTTTGTAGTGGTCTTGTATGTCTGGGTCGTCATGGAGGGGAGCTCTGAGCAACTCCGTGTGGATGTGACATAGCTGCAGTGTAGTTAGTGTTGTTACTGTGTATACTGTGGACTCCTAAGTGTAGTTACAGGATGAGAGCTATGCTCGTGGTGTCCCGTCTTCCCAGTACTGTCGTATAACGCTTTTAAACTATTGACAGTTTTTACCTCCACCACTTTCTCATTTAACTTGTTTCAACCTTCTGCCATTGTTTGCAAAATAAAACTTTATAATATTAATTTGGCACTTACGTTTTGTTACCTTGAATTTATAACCTCTTGTTCTTGAGGTTGCTGATTTCAAGAATTCATCCTTGTCAATTTAGTTGATTCCTGTTATTATTTTGTAAGTGGTGATCATACCGCTTTTTTTTTCCTTCTGTCTTCTAGTATTGGCATATTTAATGCCTCTAGCTTCTCTTCATAACTCTTGTTTTTCAGGTCTGGAAGCCATTTTGTTGCATGCCTTTGCATCTTTTCCAGTTTATTGATGATGTTCTTGAGATATGGGCACCATACAACTGCTGCATATTCCAGTTTTGGGCTCACAAGTCATGAATAATTGCTTTAGTATTTCACCATCCATGTACAGTAATTGAAAGTGATTCTGAAATTGGAAAGCACAGCATATGCTCCTCACACAATGTTCTTTGTGTTCCTCTGATGACATTCTACTATCAAGAACCACCCATAGATCTCTCTTTAGTTCTTCAGTTTCTTTCCACACAATTTATAAGTTGTGTGGTCTATTTTCACCTATCCCACATTCCTAATATGGGATATGTTCACATTGAATTCCATTTGCCACATGGTGCTACAAGCACTTATTTTATTTAGGTCAGTATCTTAGCATCATTCACAAACATGGTCATATAATTCTGTATGCCTTCTGGTAGATCGTTTATGTAGACGATGTAGATGTCAACAAAGTTTTTGATTGGGCAGCAGAAAATAACATGATGTTTAACAGTGATAAATTTCAGGTACTCAGGTACGGCAAAAATGAGGATCTGAAACATAATACAGGGTACAAAACACAATCGAATCTTCCCATAGTAGAAAAACAGCATGTCAAGGATTTGGGAATAATGATGTCCGACGATCTAACGTTTAGGGAGCATAACCAAGCAAATATCGCGTCAGCCAGAAAAATGATCGGATGGATTACGAGAACTTTCAAATCCAGGGATCCCATCACAATGGTTGTACTCTTCAAGTCACTTGTACTGTCCCGTCTCGAGTACTGCTCAGTACTCACTTCCCCTTTCAG